AGGGTGTGATGGGGTGACCCTTTATGTCGGGGGGTGTTGAATAATTGCTCGCGTGCATACAACTGTTACATAGTATCTGTACAATATGCACATGAAATAAAGTATAATACGGTACTATGCAAAATAATAATAATTAAAAATAGTTTTTTTTTTTGTATCACAAATATATTTAGTATTTTAATTTTTCGTTTGTTCTATATTCTATATTCTTTGTGAGTAAGATTCTCTATATTATATTAAAAAAAAATATTAGTTCATAAAATAGTTACATTTGGGCTAATCCGGGGGAATTATACAGTAGCTAGTTTAGTTGCATTGTAAATTACTAAAAGTAACAAAGTAAAATAAAATCGGTAATAAAGGTGTTTCTCACTCAGTACGAGAAAAAATCATCATTTATGGGTTGGTTACGGCATATTTTTTATTTAGCAGAATTAGTTTTTATATGTATATCTAAATATATATACTAATTCTGCAAAATATATAAACATTTGATAAATTAAACAAAAAACAGACATATGTAGTTCTAAGTAAATACACATTAACAAGGATGAGGCATGCGATAAACAAAAAAATATGTTACATAAATAAAATATGACGACCTCGGTGGTCTAGCGGTCTTTACGACCGATGGTCGCGAGTTCGATTCCTCGCACGGTACAAACATGTGTATTCATGAGTATCATTGTTTGTATCAGTCTGGGTGTTTTCTATGTATAATATGTATGTATTTACAAAAAAAAAATCTATGTATCTGTATCAGTTATCTAGTACCCATAACACAAGCTTTAGCTAGCTTAACTTGGGACTAGATGGCGTTGTGTGAATTGTCCTGAGATTATTATTATTATTATAAATATTTAAAAAAATAATAATGGGAAAATAGTCAGATACTCGATAATTTCAGAACGGCAAGTGCATTTGAACCCCTGCACCGCAACCCCTCGTTTGAGGGACATTTATGCAAGTAAAATGCCTTTCATGTCCTTCGCTCAATAATTTAGTTAGCACGTGCCTCATAAAATAGAGAAATGCTAATAATAGTGATTTTATTTAAATATGTATGCAATAATATGAATAATATTACTACTTTAATATTGAATAAATTGTTATCACCTATTAATATATTAACAAGCGAATAAATTATTAATACATCAGATACGAATAAAATTAAGTAAATATATATTTAATATTATTAAAAAAGTTTCTCTAAATAACCGGTCATTCTTTCTGCACATACACATTCTATTTAAATACAATTTTTTTGGTAATTTTAAAAATATATCACTTGTAATCCTAAATGTGGTGGCCACGTCGTGGTGAACGCAACACGTGCCCACTTCCATATTTCCACTATTAGAGAGTCAGTCAGAAATATAAAATGTCACTTAAAGGTTTTTTAGTACCGTCCAAATCTAAACTCATGATCTAAAATTCTTATAAATCGAAGCATAATAAAATCTATATATAATAATATTTTTCCATATTATATAACGGAGAGAACTCCTGGACAAGTAGTAAGTATGAAGTATCTTGAAGTACAGCTTCTATAAACATGATATTTACAAGGATTTAAAGCAATTAATATTATTCTTGTATTGGTTTCTTAGCGAAGATGGACCAAAATGTAGGTGATAGAATGAGTGGACTGTATGTGTGATGTAAATCAAACAATGGATAGAAAATGGTAACTTATAATGAAGATAGGTACGTGTACAAATGGTTGTAGACAAGAAGTAACAATAAAAATATATGACAATTCTAAAAGAAAATACATTTAAAATTGGTAGAAAAATAAATATATAAAAATGTGCAAAGAGTTTGCAACAATTCTATTAAGTTTTAAATAAAAAAAAAAACTTTCGATATTACGACCATGATACTGAAGTCATTGAGACGATATTATTATGGTAATTATAATAATAATAATAATCTTAGGACAATTCACACAGCGTCATCTAGACCCAAGTTAAGCTAGCTAAAGCTTGTGTTATGGGTCCTAGACAACTGATACAAATACATAGATATTTTTTTTCGTAAATACATACATATTATACATAGAAAATACCCAGACCGATACAAACAATCATACTCATGAATACAAATGTTTGTGCCGTGCGAGGAATCGAACCCGCGACCATCGGTCGTAAAGCGGTAGACTAGACCGCTAGACCACCGAGGTCGTCAAAATTGACCTGTTTACTACAGTATAATACATCACATAAGTACTTGCGTAGTAAAGAGGTTAGAGTACTAGTGCTACCCCTCTGGATAGCAATACATTCACCCTTTCATTACCACATAGGGCTTCATTAAAACCGTTCAGTTCATTGCCTATAAGTGTATAAGAACATTTTTATACACTTATATATAGGTAGGATGTAAGAGAAAGCGTGCTGTATGACTATGTATGTATGCCTATTTATGTTAAAATAATATGTAGTAAATACTATATACATGTACATAAGTATAAATATATAGTTATGTATATAGGTATTTACAAGATATTATTTTGACATAAATAGACTACAGTTACATTCACCCGTAATGATATAGCCTTCTCTTTTTAAAGAACTTCTTCTTTAAAAAGAGAAGGCTATATCATTACGGGTGAATGTAACTGTAGTCTTTTAGAGGAAGTTTGCCAACGAATGAGTATAATTATTAGTGATAAGAGTATGTAGTGTAGAAAATGTTGCAAAAAAGTGGAATATGGTTGAATGAAAATTTTGCAGACGAATTTACGCTAGTATTATGTAAATGTGATATTTACAATGATCATAGTAATTATAAGCTCCCAATGCTTTTCAATGTAGAGTCGAATTTTTAGCTATGGCTTGAACTTTTTAAGTTAAAACTTGATACATAATAATTATATAATAATAGTCTCATCTGGCGGATTTGATTCTAATTTTGGTGGTCAAAAATTTTTTTCATTGGTTAGTGTATTTTTTGTGGACAAATATTGGGAAGGTAAACGTAATTTGAAAAATTCGCCATTAGCTGTGAAGCATAAAATCGCGTAAAAACTATGTTATTTATTAACATTAGAATATATTCAAAATTAACTTATAATTGTTTATAACTCATTACATAATGAGTTATAAACAATTCTGATTGGAAATTACTTTAAATCACTCTACTTTAAGAACATAAATTAAACCTTTGATTGGTTCTTGTATTTGTGTTCTTATGTAATTCAAATACACACACAAAATTTCAATATTATTGTATATAATAAAGAAAGTATTTTTTTAAATAACTCTGCCTACAATTTTTAATTATTTCTAATAGTTTTGGGTGCTCTTTTTATTACTGTCTATTACGCTACCTATGACGAGCGTGTTGCATCGGGAACAGTATTTAAAAAACATTTATATAGTTCTACATTATTCTGTCGAAGCATCGGTACAAATCAGCACAATAATAGAATTATTTCGAGACAAATCGATAAAAACATCATTATCGTCATACGAGTATTTCATAGAGTTCAAGCGCCCGTGTCTATACAAGTATGCAGTCGTAACTCCGCCCAATGAATGCCTTGAAGATGTATCAAATATTAAAGAATACGCAGAAATATAACGTGAACCTACTTGTGTAGAATATGTAATGAAGAAGAGTTGCGCATTTAAAAATGTTATAATAAAAGAATTCGTTGTTACATACTACCTTTTACCGAGTTATACATTGTTGTAAGTCGTCTGCGTCATCATTCAGGAGGAATAAGATGTCATGCCTCCGTACCCTGTAATTTCACTGGCTTAAACAAAAACATGTCTTTCTAAGCAAGCTTCCTCGCCGCTGAAATTGGTGACATGGATTTATCCACAGTGATTCCAATTAATTACTATTTGAATTATTTAGCAGTCTTATTATTCGTCGCAGTTTGGTCGCCAATCAGCACTAGGCTTTTAAGCACTATCCGAACTCTTAACAAGAAGACCGACCTCTAAACGAGGCATCATCAGGCATTTCCTGGGGAACAAGTTGGTGTTTATTCCTGGTAAATTCTTCACGATGCGCCTGCGCCAACTGAGCTAACATAATGCTCATCCTATCATTCTCTACTGGTACTTCGTATATACCACAGGCGGTTGCAGCATTCCATTATCATCCATTAAAAATTACCCCCTAAAAATTATGACATGTGCGTGTAATAGGTCTCGGTCATTCTCATGGCTTTCAGCCATTAATTTTGACAAGAACAGCAATAAACGCTACCACGCGGTAGCTGACGTCAATACCAGGCCTCTCCGGGGGATAGGTTTATGGCTAATATCGTTGTCTTCGAAATGGCCGCCGTAAAGATATATAGGTGATGTACTGCGGTGGAATTGTGTCAGCTGTTTGATGAGTTTATGGCGAAATTAAATGGGTTACGGTAGGGTGATGTCGTTCAACACTTATACTTCATCAGTATCAACTGTTGATTTCTTTCTGTGTGTGCTTGATTGAAATAAATTTAAAATATCTTTACTCAAGAAGGTTTACTGCCAACACTAATAGAAGTCGAATCTACAGTCATTTCAGCGTGAATCACTCAAAAAGAACAGACGAAAAAGTCAGCGAAAAAGTATAGCTACAAAATAGAGAGTAAATAATTATGTAGTAATCACAAATTGAAAATATGTGCATTTATTTATTTAAATCGTTTATATACTAAGAAAACTATATATGTATATATTATTTCTATAACAAGAATGTATTTAAACAAAATAGAGAAATTAAAAAAAAATTACCTTTGTCTACAAATATCTAAAGGTTCTTGTAATTTAATTTGTAAGTTCAAATAAAATATAAGAAGGTATATTAAGTTAAAATTAAATGTTCGGTAAATTATGTAGGTATAACAAATGACTCTTGGCTGCATGAACTAATACTAAGTATATTCAATACGTTATATGTATACTTGCAATATGAAGAGAACCGATCAAGTTAACATTAGTACTAAGCAATTTATATATTTTATGATGTATTAAAATGTTTGTATTTGTCAGGCGGATGCCAGCACCGCATTTCTGCGGGCTGCGCGCGCCGGGCAGATAGAGAAGATCATTAGCCTCCTCGAGCAGGGGGTCGACATCAACGTTAGCAACGCTGTAAGTATCATCATTATTCATCATCATCAGTTTTTATGTTACTCACTGATGATAAAGCTTCCTATAGGTGAAATATTTTTTTAAATCATATAAGAAGCAAATAAGCAAACTAAATATAAACATTTTCATATAATATGAACTAGAAGTACACACTGGTTTAACATAGTAACATAACAATTATATCATACAGACTGGTCTGTTCCAATTACTATGACTGATTTACTTTTATTTAGTTACTCAACCAGTTGTTTGTATATTTAATATGACTGTAATTAGTTATTCTTATTTGGTAGTTTGTATTCACACATTGTAACTTCAAAATATCAAGTTACATTTGTTTAAAAGAACACTACTCAAATTTCTGTCCATCTCTTGTGATGAGACAGCTTTTTGAATGAGTGGTAGATTAAAGAAGAATAAGTATAACTGTTCAAAAGTGCTTAATTTTAAGTTAATTTGTATAAATAATTTTCTATTCTATTTTATGCCGTTTAAATAATGTAATAGTACAAAATGTCCTAAATCCGTGTGTTCAGGATGTTACTACTCTTAAATTTAAAAAATAATTATGCATTTACATTATACCCTAGCTGTTCTCTCTGCTGTGGAATTTACCTTTATTTTTCTAAAATAAAAGTAGCCTAAGTTACTCCTTATTACATCAGCTACCTGCTAAAAAAAGTCCCGTCAAAATCGGTCCAGCCATATAAGAGATTTGCCAGAACAAACAGGCAGACAGAAATTGTAAAAAATGTTATTTTGGTGTATGCAACGTATTTTATTATTAATATGCATGTAGTAAAAAATGGTTATTTCAATATTACAAACATACACTTCAATTTTATTTATATAGATTATACATACATTCTATAATATAAAATTCTTTCAAGAAATCGTCGCTTTTAATAAATGACGTGTGGAAGTTATCGGTGTAGCTAATAAGCTTGGAAAGTAAATTGAGCTATAAAACAAAGCCAGAATGTTTTGCAAAATTCTTTCCCACCAAATCTCCTTGGAAAAGAACAGGTATTTCCAAAATGTTAAAGTTTATTTTGCTGTGCAACGACATAAAAACTTTTCTACAATTTCATGTAGGTATGTGTTATAAACACGCGATCTGGTATCACGAATTTTAGCTATGAACGGTGGGTCACGGTGGTATTCACCCTCGCTTTGTTTAGATAGATATTTAGATTAAAAATCCATTTTTCTTGTCTTATCTTATGTCAAATATCTGTAAATGTAATGGGATACAAGTAAATTGATTTTAATAATAGTAGCTGGTTTGCTTGAAGATCGAGACGGCGATTTTAGCGACACCACAGATAATATAATATACACTCAGTGCCATCTAGTCCCATGTAGAGCTGGTGTTATGGCTACAAGACAACTAATACATTAAATAGATACATAATGTTTGCAAAAACTTAGAAAGTACGCCGGTATATATAAATAGTATATATCGGTTATATACAATCTTACTCATGAATACAAATATTTGTACTGTACGAGGACTCGAACCCGCGACCAACGGAAGTAAAACTCTAGACTAGTCGATCTAATGCATAGAAAAGTAAATAGAGTAGTGGTTAAAATCTAGTTTTCTATAATTTTTTGTACTAGATATTACCCGTGACTTCCTCTGCTATTTTATGAGATAAAAGCTATTGCTTCTTAAAGTCTTTCATTAAGATCTGTTCAACCGATTAGTCATGAAAAGGTAAACACACTTTTGCGTAGGAATAGAATAGAGTTGCGGTCACGATAGGGCTGGGCAGTAGCAATACCTACAGTTAAAACGCTTAAAAAGACTCAACATACTGTAAATACAGGTATTCTCTAGTGTATGTTTAAACGTTATTAAAAAGAAAGAAACCAAATGGTTTCTTTATTTACAATTATAAAAAAATTGTTCATAGAAATTTATAATAAATGATTTTGTCACCTACATTAAATAGTTAAGTATAGATATACAAATTTCTCTTTTTGTATTGTTGAAAATTAGTATAATCTTGTTAGAAAATACCCTATTATACAATACTGTACATGAAATCTAATCTATTCTTCAGTTCTGGAACAACGCCAGTTTTCGTTGGATTTCAAACTATTAAGCGTTAGCCCTCTGTATCCCATTAGCTTTGTTTCTTGTTTGGCTTACTTGGGACCTATTTGGCAAACGTTCCATAACATGTATGTATTTAAGTATTTCTATTAGTTGTTTAGTACATATTATACACGGTGACCCATGCTATGGATAGATCAAGTCAAAGCAGCAGTAGGTGATCCACTCCATGAGTAATATAGAATATCAGTCAATAGAGGCGGAGGACATCTACCTCTTAGTCCACTACAAAATGAACGTTCTGCCAAGAACGTAAGAAAAAAGATTAGTCGTATAGTGTTTATAATACAAGCTCGGTTTGGGAGTAGATACCAATTTCACGTTGTTTTATTATTTAAAAATGTATGCTTAAAAATATATTTGTCCACAGAACGGTTTAAATGCCATCCATCTTGCGTCCAAAGATGGCCACGTGGAGGTGGTCAGGGAATTGCTCGATCGTGGTGCGGCCATCGACGCTGCCACCAAGAAAGGCAACACCGCGCTGCATATTGCCTCGCTAGCTGGGCAAGAAGCTGTTGTTAAACTTCTAGTGCAGAATGGGGCTCAGGTATGATACTTTAGTATGGACAATCTTATCTTTTTAATATTATAAACGCGGAAGTTCGTCAGTATGGAACGATGTTTGATACTCTTTTACGCAAAAACTAGTGATCCGATTTTGATGAAACTTTATAGTAATATAACTTGTACATCAGAGTATAGGCTAAAAATTTCACACGGGTGAAACCGCGGGCACAGCTAGTTAATCTATAAATCCTTACCACTACTGCTAATATGTCAGATTATCCGCTCCAGACGCACTGGATATTAGTACACTGCTTCGGACACAGTGTATCTGGATGTGGACATAGATATATAAAATCTATGATATCCACTGACAATCAGTGCTGCGCATGCGCAAACTTAGTTGTACTACAAATGCTGTGTTAGAGTCACATATAGCGTTACCAATATATTTAAGCTTTTAAGTTGTATAACAAATACGAATAACGCTGAATAAATATCTTTATTATTATAATACATGAACTGTGAGATATTATAATTTACTAACATACTTTATAAGTTTATTACTAATTTACTAGTAATTCTACATAATATGGATGGAAACTAAAGTAAATAAAGAAATAAGTGTAGTAAAACCGTAACTGGCCGCTGTACGTGGAAGACATGTAAGACATATTACTAAGGGGACTTTATGAATGGAAGAGAATTCATAACATTGATTGTTAGAATTGTTAATTGTTAAACAATTTATACATATAATTAGTAAAAATCACGGGATCTTACCACGTTTTATATTTATTTGCTGAGTTCCCGATATTTCGGCAGTGTTTCAACCACCATGATCACGGGTAAACAGAAGAGCAGCGGGTAGATGGAAAATGAAATCTTTTTATGGGCAGACATATGCGTCTACCTTCACACGTCTTCGTTTGTTGCTACTACTGGAACTTGCTCGATATTCATTTCCGCAATTTTTACTAATTATACGTATAAAAAATGACCGCGTCAAATTTAATGTTAATGTTAAACAACTGTTTTGAACAGTCAAGATTTAAAAATATCTTTTCAATCAACCATGAACGCTTTAAATCCCTTTTAGTAACTTGTTTAAAATTAGATTGTTTTAAATAGATATCATTTATACACTATTTTTCTCCTGTCTCTACTCTCTCTATATTATATAAACACAAAAATAAAGAAAAAAATTCTGTTAACAAGTAATTCTCAAAAATCTACCATTTTTGAGAATTACTTGTTAACAGAATCTTGTTCCAACGAAATCATGGCATGAACCATGGCTTCGACCAAACACCATCAATTAACGGTGTACGATTGACATTGATCATAACAAATCAATGTGACTTCCCGACCAAAGTGGTAGTCTGTATGTCGATCAATCATGATTTTGTTTATATTGCTCTGTTACTGTTATCTAAAGAGGCGATGACTGAAACAAAATATACAACCATATACTTCACATATAGAATAGAATAGAATTGATTTAACGTCTGCGATGGTCTAGCGGTTTAGCACAGCGCTTTACTTCTGATAGTCGCGGGTTCGATTCCTCGCACGGTACAAACATTTATATGCATGAGTAAAATTGTTTGCATCGGTTTGAGTGTTTTCTAGAGATAACAAAAATGAGAAAATATATATATACTAATATATATATATATATATATACAATAAACAAAGGCGACGTATAAAGAAAAGAGAAAATAAACTATATATTACCTCTACATATACATTTCTTTTTCTAACTTTAATAATTGGCTTAAAATATTTATACATTACAGTATAATTTTTATCGCGTTGTTGCATGTCATCACGTCATATAAAATAGAAACGAAACCTGGAATTAGTGCTTGCAAATGAAATTGCATAGACTTATAATAATATAATAAAAGCAAACCTAACTCTTGATACTAGAAATTTCGCTTATGCTAGAAAGATAGGTATGGTAGGTACACAGGTTGGTAGGTCTATAAATTAACTACTAATTCTGTACCCATCTATAACATTAGTTAATGAAACAACTGGTACTTATTACTACAATATCGCTACTAGAACTTTTAACTTTTAAGAACAGTAACTAAGTAACTATATGATTTCGGAACTAACGTTACGGTTTTTTTGTTGCAAGTGACATACTCGCTACTAAGTACTGGATATGTATGGATTGCAATAGCTGTAACCTTTCATGAACAAGGCTAAAGCCATTGGTAATTAAATTAGAATTTTCGAAAAGTTCGCCTTATGTGCACAATTTTTTAATTATTTTAAGATTAGAAGCAAAAATATCTAAAAAAAAAGCATTTAGTATATCATAGAATTTCTTTACCTGAAAATGTTGTATTGTTTATTTCCTTCGAACTAAATACTAGTTTAGGTACTATCTACCAAAATTACAATTGGTTTCTTCTCATAGTTAACGTCATACATTATGATAAGAAATCATATTTATATAGATATTTTAATTATAAATTTACATAATATATTCATCAACCGACTTCAAAAAGATTATTCACTCACTGTTCTTTTATATAATTTGAATTGCTGTCAAGCTGATGGTCTCTCTAATTGTAAGTGTTAATCATCGCCTAGGTACATGAACAGCATATATTATCATGTAACGACCGTCATACCACTCATGTGTTCCAGAGGACTAAGGTATCGTGCTTATATCCTGCAATTTTACTGCTTAATTTCCCCCTTCATTTGAAATACATCTTACAAAGTAATCTTGGCGAATGAAATAGGTAACATAGAGGTATTCAAGGCGATTTCGTATAAAGTCTATCTCAGTAAGATATAGTTCATATAGTATATTACAATCAATATAAAAAACGAATACTAAAATAGCGATGTCACCATAAAGTAATGGTTTTATGGGTCATTACTTACGTCATATTAACGATGTTTATTATTTTAGCAGGCGATGTATGCCGAATATCGCTGTGGTGTCAATTAGTGAATAATATACTCACACTATATTTATTAATATTAGTTTTAATGTAAGTTTATTTATAACATTGGAATGGTATTTAATTCATAATTTAAAAAACAACGTTCTTATCGGTTTTTCATATGTATAGGTATACCAAGTGAAATTTCATTATGATGGGTTAAGCCTTCGAGACACTGTTTGTTACGCTGTCAAGTAAACAAACTCGCTTTAGCCTTTTTAATAACAGTTGAGCTATCAGTTTGTCATTATTCTATTTATGATATGGGTTCCAGAGAGTGAGAGATGAATTTATAGATAATAGCAATATCTAGCAAGAATAAGTTTATTTGCGGACAACGTTACAATTTGTTTTTCATACTGCTTTCTTGATATATGATAGCGTACCGGCTTTTTTTATTGATCGCCGCATGCATCCTCATGTAAAGTGCGAATACTGTAACTACCATATAGTAATTTTAAGTAGCTGTGACGTGGTCCAGTGGAATGAGTAGTCATGCTCACTAAAATGTCCAGACTGTGGCGGCGTGGTGGGCCGGGTCATTGGGCCCCCTAAAATATGGTCGAGCGTAGTAATGGCTGGCTCATCCGTCATACTCGTGAACGAGTGCTGCTTGTAGGGACTGGTCTGCTCTTATCACTACGACTAATTTAATCTTATTGTATATTTATATTTGACCCAAAAAATTAGTGCTGGTTGGTAGTTTGTATTCACACGTTTCGATTTGTAAATGTAAACTTACAAGGATTATTTAAAAAAGTAACACACAAGTTTCTTGCTCGTTCTTCTTGTGATGAGACAGATTACCCAACGAGCGGTAGATAAAAAAAATGTTATGACTATTCAAAAGTGCTTAAATTAAGTTTATTTGAATAAATGATTTTCTATTCTATTCTATTCTATGCATATATACAAATACATCGTTAGTTTTTAACAATAGAATTTGAATCGCATTTCAATCTAAATTAATTATGACTGCATTTCGACTTTCGATTGGGTAACCATTCGTATTGATTAAACCGCAAATGAAATGATTGAATTATAAAAACATAGACTCACTGGCTATCATATTTATATCTATGTATACATAAAAATGACAGTGAATCAGATGATATCATTGCACAAAGTGTTCCCGTGTTAGGTAAATAGTTTAAAAAACATATTTTTCCAGCATTGCCCTAATTGAAACTCTAATTTGTCTTTTTATATGACTTTATATATGATAATATGGTATTAATAGAATTAGCAGTTGGGTTTAAAAAATAAACTATTTATTTTGTTCACCAGGTCAACATTCAATCCCAGAATGGTTTCACCCCCCTCTATATGGCCGCTCAGGAGAACCATGACGGGGTTGTCAAGTTCCTTCTTGCTAATGGCGCTAATCAAAGCCTAGCTACAGAGGTAAGTATCATTACTATAGTTATTGCTAACTGACTCGGCAAACGGTGTTTTACCATATACTTTTGACAGGGCCATCCTTATCATCTACGGATATAAAAAATAGCCTGCTATCTACCAAATTCTCAGATTTACCAAGTATGCACTAAATATTTCATAATAACGGTCAAGCTTTTTCGGAGAAGTATGTTAATAAATACTGTATCACGATATCTTTATATATTATTCTCATTGTTTTTTTTAGATAGGTATTTTATTTTTTATATTACACATATATTATACATTTTGATAGGTATTTTGGCAGGTAACAAGTCTACAGTCCTCTCTCGATTAAAATTATTAACTTTATTAATATTTCCATTAATATGGATTTAGTCAGAAATATAAGTTAACACAAAGATGCGATCCTACGATGTCTAACTAATGTATCCTATTATACGACCGTTCAGTCTAAATTGCAATAATCCACAAGGCTACGATGCTCTCATTCTTCTTACAGAGAGATATAACTATGAATGTTTGTTCAGGATGGCTTTACACCACTGGCAGTGGCTATGCAGCAAGGGCATGAGAAGGTAGTCGCTGTACTGCTTGAAGCAGATACTCGGGGTAGAGTCCGTCTGCCCGCTCTACACATCGCTGCCAAGAAGGACGACGTGAAGGCTGCCAATTTATTACTTGAGGTAGGTTTGTTCTAGTAGATACATTGCTCGGTACTTCACTGAATATGTCCTTGAATTATATTATAGCTATATAGATAGTGGAATGGTAAACAAAATGATGATCCAAAGGCCAACTGATGGTAAACGCTGCTACAGATATGAACAGCACAACAGTTTTTGAAACAAAGTTGTGATGACTCGTTACTATTTATGCCGACTAAAGTGTCATAGACTATAATTTCACTGCCATTTTTCATTCTTCATACAAGAATGCAGTTTGTTGTGCAAGACACTTGGATGCAATAATATATGAGACAAACAATATTTAAACAGCTTTGTATAAAGTGTACATCAGTAACATCAACCAAAATAGTCAAAATGAGTTATATAATCAGCAAATTTATAAAATGCAAAAAATACTTGCCAAATATATGTAAAATAATAGATGCCTTTACACGTACTGTACCCTCTTTCAGGTGCGAATAGGCTTTAATGCTGTTAAAAGTGTGTTTGTAAATGTAAACAAAGAGAACAAGAATGCAAAAAATTCGCCTTATCGAGCATGAAATAATGTGTATAGTCAGCTATCCGTCTGTATTATTATTCTAAACTTACCTTCATTTTTTTCACCGTTTATATGACATATAAAACTTTTCCACATCACATTTTTATAAGTAAACACTCCAATTTATTTATTCATTAAAAGGTCAAGCGTCTATTTATAAACTTATTTTAGCTATTGATCTATCTTGTAGTTTTATTTCAAGCTACTTCCTCAAATAGAAGATAATTTCGAATTATTAAAATTGATTTTAAAGGTTTCAGTAATCACGATAACACCTCCAAAAGTTCTAGGAAACTATACAATATGTCCTCTTTTTTTGCTTATATTTATGCGAAAGATGTAACGTATTTATCTTTTTGAAAGATGTAACGTATTTACGTTTTTTAACGAATGATAATTCGGAAATTTTACATACAGAACGAGGACAAAAACTATACAATATAGCATCTTATCTTATTTATATTTATACGAAATATGTAATATATTTATCTAGTTATATTGTCAATATCTTACATATATTTTCTTGGCGTGAAAACGGCAACAATATTTAATTAGGTAGGGTTTTAGTTTGTACGAGTGGAATAGATTTTAACAATCGATAATTTCGGTATTTCTTAAACAGAACGAGCACAATCCGGATGTAACGTCCAAATCCGGTTTTACGCCGCTGCACATCGCAGCCCACTATGGCAATGAGTCTGTAGCGAGATTGCTTCTCGCCAAAGGTGCTGATGTAAACTGCGCGGCCAAACACAATATATGTCCTCTACATGTTGCTGCTAAATGGGGTAAGTGCTGATGGTAAATACATTAGTTTCAGTATGTGTCATAAATAGTCCAGTGATTTAGCACACTTCAGATGATCGTAGGTTCGATTCCCGTACGATATAAAAAATTGTTGTAACATATTAAGAGAACATTACAAATGGGACTAAAATTGTTATTAAAAATTCTCTCATCAAGAAGTATCTTGTGCTGGTATTAGTAAATAAATAAATAGTAAAATCTTTAATTACTTTGGAACTATATGGCACTGTCTGAGCTATACTGGGTTTTATATTTCTTATTTTCCTATTCTCAGCTTATATGATACGATTATTATTATTTATTAGGCAAAGACAATATGGTAGCACTCCTCGGCGACAACGGCGCTAACGTAGAAGCCAGGACTAGAGATGGGCTGACTCCCCTCCACTGCGCAGCGAGGTCTGGCCACGAGAGGGTGGTGGAAGCATTGCTGGATAGAGGCGCGCCAATAACCAGCAAAAGCAAGGCAAGTTATAATTTAATCCTCTTATTTAGTAAAACCACAGATAACATAATATTTATTATATTATATATATTATATTACTAAGTAAAACCCTCAATCTACGAGTGGTGTAGATTAAGTTAAGTGTTTGTTGTTAGAAGGAAAGGAGAGGGCGTAATGGAGAGTGTGTGTTAAACATCATGATATTATATTTCCTTATTAAAAATCATTATATTATATTTTGTGCATTTTGGCACTTTCTAGCAGTTTTCCTTTTTAAATCAACTCGCTGCCTACTGAATGACGCCACGCGGCTATCAGTTCGAAATTTGATAAAAAAAAGTACCTAATACTTTTTTTTGGTTATGGATTATAACTTCACTATTTGCATTTATAACGTGTGCTCACGGACTTATTTATATATCAAAAACCGTTGAAATTAGATTCACATTACGAGCAAGTGTATTGAAAAATATTTTCTTTCTTTCTTTAAAGTGTTGTCTTCTTCGGTGCAGAACGGGTTGGTCCACTCTTTAAAGTGTTCTCGTCTTTTGGTACAGAACGGGTTGGCCCCCCTGCACATGTCTGCGCAGGGTGACCACGCCGACGCGGCGCGCGTCCTGCTGGCCCGGCGAGCACCAGTCGACGACGTCACCGTGGACTACCTTACCGCGCTGCACGTGGCCGCTCACTGTGGTCACGCTAAAGTGGCCAAATTGTTACTTGACAGGTAAAGTTTAAGATCCATAATTGAAATTCTGTGCATATGTAGCTTAAAAGATGTAGATTTACATCCAACGGCGGCGACTTTGTACTATGTTTCATAGTACGCTTTGATCTTTAAATTACACATCTACGAGTACGAGCAAGAGTAAGTGAGATTCAGTTATGCTGTATTTAGTACATTTTTGTTAATGGATAATATACTTAGATAACACCCAGAGTAATATAAACAATCTTACTCATCATGAATACAAGTGTTTGCACCGTGCGAGGAATCGAACCCGCGACCATCAAAAAGAAAGGCAATGTGCTAAACCACTACACTAGAGAGGCCATAGAATATAACGTTTACAATTGTATTATTAGATTTGTAAAAAGAACATTCCTGTTACAAATAATATAAATTATTAAATCTTAATACAGGAATGCAGACGCCAATGCGCGCGCTTTGAATGGATTCACACCACTGCATATTGCTTGCAAGAAGAACAGGATCAAAGTTGTGGAGTTACTGCTCAAATATGGAGCTAGTAAGTACATTTTTAATAGATAATAATGCAATGGTTGCACTAATGTTGTCTGCTCGCGTGGTTCCAGTGGATGATGATAAGATGAATATAAGGTCAGTTATCCCATCGTGGTAAGTTCAAATGAAATTTATCAAGATGGTTTCCAGTGGGAACTGTGTGGAGGTCAACCTGATATAATACATTGCTATTGCTAGGTATACACCATGTCAGGTTGACCCTTCACATTTCATAAGAGTTCAACTTACTAAAAATCCTTTCCCTCTGCTAGTAAGTATCATAGAGTCAAATCTTTCTTTCTTTTAAATGTTTTTTCTTTCTTTCAAGTCTATATTAGACACGACGTAGTGCGTCGAAATCCAAACGTTAAAAATTTAGACATCAAAAATCTGCCATTTATTTTTGAACCTTCATTAATTCATTACCATTGGTTTTAATATAGATATACATTTAATTTAATCAGGTATTCAAGCAACGACTGAGTCAGGCTTAACGCCTCTCCACGTGGCCGCATTCATGGGCTGTATGAACATCGTCATCTACCTGCTGCAACATGAAGCTAATCCTGACGTGCCCACAGTCAGGGGCGAGACGCCATTGCATTTAGCTGCCAGAGCTAATCAGGTAATGTAATTCTTTTATAGGTTTCATGAGTCATTAATTGATATCTTTTTTAAGCTAACATATGCACATACTGCATGGTGCTAACTCCGCTGTAGCTTTCCCAGTATATCGAATTTAGAGCCATTCATAGATAGTTAGGGCATAATGCTATGTATAGTAAAATAACTACTATAAATATTTCATATGTTAGACGCTTACTTTCTTTGTACTTTAAAGTTCTAGCAGGAGTATTGAATGTACCTGTTGAGTGTGAGCTCTTGAGGGTTCTACATAAGTAGGATATAGTGGGTGCTAAGAAAATATGGAGATAATTGAAAGATAAGATCGATACGACAGCGATATAATATATGTATGCATGTATATATACTATATATGAAAACATAATTTTCAAACAGAAAAAGAATTGCTTAATTTGGTTCAGGGATTTAGAACTCTTAATAGGAAAATGAACTTATTTTCCTCATTACAGATTTCGCTCTGCTTTATGAAATAAGCATAGATTATACATATACTTTATTACCTTTACCTTTCGTTTGGTACGACTAACTCTGTATATATATTTTAGACTGACATCATTAGAATTTTGCTTCGCAACGGAGCGGCGGTCGAAGCTAAAGCCAGAGAGAGACAAACTCCGTTACACATAGCGTCCCGTCTGGGCAATGTGGACATTGCGGTGCTACTGCTGCAACACGGTGCCGACGTGAGGGCGATGACTGCTGACCATTACAATCCGCTGCACATTGCTGCTAAACAGCATAATCATGACGTAAGTATTATTAACTGACTTCAAAGAAGTTTGCGATTACAATACAACACACGGCACCGTCCTCGCCGGCGAAGATGACGACCTCAATTACACTGTAAGTTCTGAAAATACCTGTACCAGCAGTTGCCTCTCTAATTGATAACCTGTGCCATTCTAACAGGGATCATAATTATAATAACTTGAGCCGAGCTTCGAACTCCTAGCGCCAAAATTAACCCGAAGTTGCATACGGCAGACAGGACTTAGCCTTCAGCTATTCAATAAGTTCATAATTAAAAGACTATAATTATTTTCCGAACTTATATTTTTTTTGTATTAATATTTTTGCAACTATGGATTTAATGATCTTAATGTTCTTAGTTTGGCATACTACTGCCTGTTTTGACTTCACTTGGAAGTCTTTTTTAAGGTGCATTCTTTACTGCCTCTTGTGTCGCCTTATTACATAGAATATAGTTTAATTATGTGGTGATGTATTTGTTTAGGTGGCGGCAGCGTTAATTGAGCACAATGCTCCACTCACTGCGACCACAAAGAAAGGATTCACGGCCTTACACCTCGCTGCGAAATATGGAAACTTGAAGGTAAGATATAAATATACACTCGTATCAATATGCAAGTACCATTTCAATAAAGATTTATACAGAAATATCAGACATAACAAGTTTCTGTAAATACTTTGTTAACTAGAAAATACGCCGAAAACCAGGATAGATTTTGTAAACTCTAAGTTGTAAGCGTGAATTCCTTGATGATGGCGAGCGGTGTGATGATAGAATTAATCAGCACTTTTTTGTGGTGTCAATTGTTCAGGACATAATTAGTATTTTATTAATTCGTTAACTACAAAATGAGTGTTAAAACATTTGAGTGTTACCCAAATGTTTGAAAGCAAGTCTTTATAATGTTTTTCAATTTGTTTTTATATTAGGTAGCAAATCTGCTACTGGCTCATGGAGCATCACCAGATCAGGCCGGCAAGAACGGCATGACACCGCTTCATATTGCTGCCCAGTATGACCAACAGGCTGTTGCCACCACTCTACTCGAGAAAGGAGCTGATGCTAAGGTGATTCACATACATATATATACTTTTTGACTTAGTAGTTTCTCTTGCGTTTTCGTTTTTATACGTACATAAACAATTCTTAAAGTCTGTTTGTGATAAGCTAAAATGAAATATTTGCTCTGCCTGCGAACATAGAGGTTCTGTATAGAAACAAGACAGTATGTTAACATTACACTTATATTCTTATGATGTAGATAGAGGGTACAAATGGAGAATTAAGTAACAAGAATTTTTTGCATTGTTGTAGTGTAAGTAGTTAGATTGAGTCATCCGCCATTAAAATGGCACACGCAAAAGTAACCAAATGTCAAGTGTAAGTCACTTATAACACTTTTCGCTTTTTCTACGTGTATTTTTTTCTCAGCAATAGTCCACTTCCTTATACCTATTCGACAAGATTTAAACTTATATATCCCATGTTATCAGGCGATAGCCAAAAACGGACATACACCGCTGCACATAGCAGCTAGGAAGAACCAAATGGAAACCGCGGCTACGTTACTCGAGTATGGGGCACTGACTAACGCCGAGTCGAAAGCTGGCTTCACACCGCTGCACCTTGCTGCTCAGCAGGTTTGTCAATTAGGTTTTTTTATGTAACTGGAGTAGTAAACAAGCTAACGACCTACCTGATGGTAAGTGGTAATCATCGCCTGTATGTATAACTTGTCATGGATGTGACATGGTGAAGTGATGTTCGTTATTATATGGTACTTGTATTATCACTGATGTGTTAATATTCCAGAGGACTAGGCCTAACCAAACCTAAACATATCTTACAAAGTTGTGAGCAGAGGAATCCAGATGACTTTGTACAAAGTATCGGTCTATAGTGAAGTCATCTGCGTAGGACTGTATGACGAATCTATTTACATAATTCACCATACTTTTTTCTATGTTCTTTCTCAAGGGTCATACGGAAATGTGTTCGTTGCTATTGGAGCATGGAGCCGAGGTAGACCAACAGGCCAAGAATGGACTTGCAGCTTTTCATCTCGCCGCTCAGGAAGATAGAGTGCCAGTCGCTCAACTGTTGGCGAAGAATGGTGCTGAGGTAGACATTCATGATAATCCTTGTTATTACTACACTTTGAAAGTAAGACGAAATTAAAGGTGATTAGATTTTAAAAACATACGCACTGTTTCGGTCATATCGGAGTATATATACATCTTTATTTATTGTCATTTTAAGAGAGAGAGAGGTTTTTAATTAGTCAAACACTGATAAGAAAGACGAATTAATCAAAAACAAGAAACCGGAAACATTCTATGTTGATTTCAAATACGAATACATTCAGAGATTGGGAAGAATGCTAAGTGTTAGACTCACCATGACGTCGATAGTACAGTCCCATATAAGATTATAGTAAATAAAAATTAAAACAAAATATCTGTTGATGCGTCTATTACAGACTCTTTAAAATTCAATTAGGGAGAATATTGTAAGCACCAGTACTTTAGTCATGATTATTTATATATTATTTTAGAAATGTGTGTGTATTAAAATATAAATGTACATATTGTTAAAATATCTACAGGTTGATATTTGCACAAAGGGTGGCTACACACCCTTGCATATTGCAAGTCACTACGGACAAGCGAACATGGTTCGATTTTTACTCGAAAATGGAGCGTCTGTGAAGGCACAGACCACACACGGGTAAGTTTTTATTTTTAGAAACATTTATATTTTTTCTAATTATAACTAATATTATAAATGTGAAAGTGTGATTGTATATTTTTAATAACATTTAAAAGAGACAACGTTGTAGTAACAGCTAGTATTAATATGTCTAAAATTGAAATATCTATATCAATATTTATATAAAATTTAATTAGTTTTATATATTGAAAGTCATATAAAATATGATCTGATAAAAAATCTATGTCTAGTCAATTGTTTTAAATATTGATGTAAAATTTATAATCTTAATAATTCACTTATAATTGAAATGTTTTTTTTAATTTTTAGTCATTATTATTTTAAATTGTGATAATATTCTAAAGCTAGTCTACTATACATATATAGTACAACTCACAGGATTATTTTTTAAATAGGTATATTTTTTTTTATTCAGATACACGGCATTGCACCATGCAGCTCAACAAGGCCACATTAATATAGTCAATATTCTGTTGGAACACAAAGCTGACGCCAATGCCACCACCACGGTCAGTATACCTTCAATTAAAAGTTCATTTTATGAACAGGACAATGTGTCTTATCAATCAATATTGACGCTGCTCATTGTACATAGTAGGCAATTTATCTACAACGCAAATTAAAGAAAACTTGCTCCACGTAATTTTCTTGATACTTTCTTTCACAAGAAGCTTCTCCTATGTATAGTCTATATATATTTGTATATAGATTATTATTGCTGCATTAATAATGTCATATGCTAGTATGACTATAAATTTTGTTCTGCTGTTAAATCTAATATTGAATGCTTCAATCAGGAAGAATGAGCAAGAATCTTGCGTGTTGCTGTTTTAAAAATGTGAAATTTAAAATAATAAGTCATATCTATACTAATATTATAAAGAGGTAACGTTTGTATGTTTGTTTGTTCGGTGTAATCTTCGGTTCAGCTAATCCGATTTTAAAAATTCTTTCACTGTTAGAAAGATATATTATTATCCTCGAGTGCTACACGCTATATAACATCACGCTATGACCAAGCATCAATGAAAAATTAGTGTGGTATAAAACTGTTAATAGAATTAAAACCATATTCTTATTGAACAGAATGGCCAAACTCCTCTGGACATTGCATCTAAGCTGGGTTACGTCACAGTGATGGAAACACTGAAGGAGGTATCAGAACCCTCAATAGCACCGGCTTCCCAGGAAAAGTACAAAGTGGTCGCACCAGAAACTATGCTGGAAACATTCATGTCCGATTCTGAAGAAGAAGGCGGTAAGTTGTGAAGAATGTTAAAGTTTTCCTAATGGTTTGGAATGAAAAACGAGTTAACAGCCGACCTATAGGAAGTTTCCAGCCGTCGTTCTAGGAACGTCGCATATATATATGAATAATCCCTATTTAATTTTTTATACTTTGGTCCTTTGAGTAGTATTTATGCGACTACTATGTTATTTAATTCATGGGTGGTAAAGTTTTAACAAAAGCTTTCCAAAAGTATATGTATGTATATGAAACATTAAATAAACTCAGGTTAGATTTTTATATATGTATATGTTATGTAATAAAATGGTTAAATATACATATAATAATAATAATACTCATAGACAGTTCACACAGAGCCATCAAGTCCTAAACTAAACAGAGTTTATGTTATGGATATTAAACAACTAATACATATATTTTTTTTATAAATCCATTTTTAATATACATATAAAATACCCAGATCGATCAGTCACCAATACAAGTCTTTGTACCGTCCGAGGAATTGAACCCGCGACTATCGGAAGTAAATCGGTGTGCTAAACCGTTAGACCACCGAGGCCGACGAATTATCTTCATTTATAAAATAATACATTCAAATTGCAAATATTAAAGTTATGTATGTACTTCTAGGTGAGGACACAATTTTAAATGACCAGCCATACCGATACTTGACGGCTGATGATATGAAGTCACTCGGTGATGACTCATTACCAATCGACGTGACCAAAGACGAGAGAACAGAATCCGCCCTGAGTCATAAGAATATAATGGATATGTCGCAAGGTAAGATAACCAAAATTAACACTTTTTTTATACAACTGTGGTAGCTATCAAGCATACGACCCTTCTGACGGTAACAGGTACCATAGCCTGAAACAGGGGTGTCGCGTGCTCGTTGCCGACTCTTAAGAAACCTCAATATACTCATCTTGTAAAACCCCATGCTGTAGTCTCGTGACAAAATCTCGGCAGTGAGTCATTCCACAGTCTAAGTGTACGTGGAAGAAGCTCTTCTGAAACCGCATTGTCCGAGACTGCTTAGGATCTAGTGTGAAATTATAAATTTAAAATCATATTTTATTAAAGAAATGGCTTCCTATTTTTAGGGTCTATGAACGGTATCCCGTACCAGCCTCAGCAGGAGGTGGTGGTGAAGAGTATCAGCCGGTACAGCACGGCACAAGCACCTGAAGGATACTGCTACAACGTGGACCCCACACAACCCAAGTCAGTACATTATTTTTTCTGTCAAAAAGATAGTTATTGATTAAATAGTATTTTTTAGACAATAATACTGAAGTCTATTTAATTCTTATCTAGAATCGTATTCCAAACTAGTTTTACAATTTACATGTACGCGTTTGTTATAGATATTTAATTTATACGATTGTTTTCAGAGTCATGCAATTATTAATGACTACAATGATTCTTTCACACGCTTTCTGGACACGAAATTAACAGGAAAAAACTGCAGTGGAAGAAGTAAGTATTACCATTTTAAGTACTTAAGTAGTAGACTTTGTGCAATTCTCTGTCTCATTCATTTCAGCCGTCTAGCAGCTTGCTTTATACACTGTTATATCTAAAGTATGAGATGCGGTAGTGAAACAGTATAGGGTATGTAGTAGTACAGGGTATGTAGACCTAACAACATTCCCTAGAAATGTTATATTTTTGTTATACAAATGTTATATTTTTTATAAATGTTAATTGAATGATGTACTCGCTATCGCTAACGGTTGACGATGGCGGGGAATATATAATAAGTGGAGAATAATACGATGAGTATGACGACAGGTCAGTTTACACATTTTTACCCTTCAGTTTACCGCAATACTTTCCAGGGGCAACCGCGTATAAGTCAATCTGACGACATTGCTAACAATGGCAATTATCAGTCCACAAACCAAAAATTCCCTTCCCCCAGCGCATGTTGTTACCACAGCCAGTACGTGATGACGTGCGTCAGCGGTGTTGTACATGCTTCTACTTACCATCAGTTGAACCAACTTGTTTGCCGTTCATCATTATCATTGCCTTTATCTTTCTCCACTGATCTCTATCGGCCGTCATATCCGAGCATATTTTCTGCCGTTCCATTTAGAAAAAGTCGGAAATCATCTGCTGTAACTTAAGTGTTAACCAACAGTTTCCTGGTGTCGTTCCTGGTGGACGCACGAGGTGGTGCATTACGAGGTTGCCGCGGTGGTGGCGTCCGCGTGATAGTACCGCCGCTGTCTGCACAGCAACCCACGAGGATCACTTGCAGGTCATTTTATTTTATTATTTTTATAGCTACCGTTACTGTCTATCGGGTACGAAGGTCTCGTGGAGAGTGGATACTCCTACACTGAATATTTTATTTAATGTTATTTGTTTATTATAAGATTTGTAAATGTAATATAATGCAATGTAATGAAGTGCAATGTAATGCAATATGGACTTTATTCCCCGCATTTAGCCTCTCATATGGGGTTGTTATAAATATAACATATACTGTAGAAACTGCTCTAGGCGAATCTGTGTCGCGGGAGTCCGCAATGGAATTGTCATTGTAAAGAAGAATTATTTAATTTTTGTTTATAAAAAAACCTAAAAAATACTTGGCAATTTAAAAATATATATTGATAGCAATATTATCAATATGTACCATTATTATCAATATGTACCATAGATTGTATTTTGTGTAAATCTATTTTTTTATATTCTAATATCATTTATACTGTATATTAGTCAAAATACATATGTTTTCTTTCTTTTTATCAAATGACTTTCGCCGCAAATTTGCATTTATAAAGTGAATATGTATTTTAAATTTCACACAAAAAGAAAAAAACAGAAGAAGCATTTTTTTATAATATAATAATAACCAATGAATATAATTACGAATTTAATACAATTGTAAAATTAAAGATTATTTTTATATTTTCAGATATTTAAAACCGTCCCGCATTAACCACATGCCACCCCTTATGGAAGGAGAAGCGCTGGCGGCCAGGGTGTTGGAGATGGGACCTGTCGCTGCCAAGTTTTTGGGGTAATAAATTTTATGAAAAATGAAAATAAATAGAATTATTGCTTTGGAGATAAAGACAACTAAAAATTAATATATGGTATATTTTACTTTTTGAAACCTACAAATATTTAAGCTAAGGCACTTCACAGCGATTATGTTTTCTAAAAAAATAAAACATTAATGGTGCAGAATTATAAATATTTAGAGATATATCAACTCGACAATTTTTATTAGTTTACTTGCTACGTAGATATTTTAGAGATATCAAAAAAAAATCTACAATATTTCGAAATATTAGAGAAACTATACAACTTAGAGAAGACAAAAAAACCGCATATGATATCATCATCATTTTATGCTGATTTTCTGATAACTGAACGCTAGGTCTTTTTAAGGGTAGCCAGAGAAAAATGAATGCGAGAGATCGTTCTCGTATTTCTACTACTGTCAACATGTCATGCAATAATGTCATTATTAACAAAGTAAATATTTTAGGCCCGTGATACTGGAAGTACCACATTACGCATCACTGCGGGGCAAAGAACGTGAGATAGTGATACTACGCTCAGACAACGGCACAAGTTGGAGGGAACACAATGCAGATGCCACGGATGATGTCGTCCAGGATATTCTGCATGAGACTCTGGAGATTGAAGGTTACTTTACTTGATATTAATTCTATCTGTACCACATCTACTCCTTCTACCGTCATTACCTAAATGTTAATAAATCTATTAATTTATGTAATAGAAATGGCAAACAAGCTGACTTCTTACCTGATGCTAAGTGCTAAACAGCAATGGATCTGGTAGATAATGGCAACACTTTTTAATAGATAATTATGAAATGTTGGATCTACCTCACTATCACTGCTAACTGCGGATGCTGGCTACCAATGAATTATTATTCTAATATGATGAATATAGAATGGTTTATTTACCTTTGCTGACGGTATACGATGGTGGAGCAATATTTGAAGACACCCTATCGTCTTAAAGTCAAGTCAGTTAGCCCATCGATTGACTCATTAGCAATTAGGCACGATTGTTTCCAGAGAATTGGCACCAGTTAATATTGAGAATTATTTATGAGGCAACTGTGAGATTCCTTATGAGTTGCTATTCCGAAGAACTAAGATGTATAGGATTTTGGCCCCGGATAACTTCATTGGTATATTTCATTCCTCAAACTGGACTACAGCCAATAAAGCAAGACGCTGGTAGGTGAAAAATACGTAGCCACGCAAACAACTTTTTTTAGGTGATGCTATGCATGAACAGCACTACGGACTACAGATTAAAAAGTGAGCTGCTTTGGCTCCTGAAAAATGTGAGACCCACGTAGACGATATTTTACAGTCTACTTCAGATGAAATTAATACAAATCTATTTAATTTATTTGATTAGTTTGCTGACTCTTTAATGTACTTTACCAGAAACAAACGATGAAGAGAAAGGCTGGGACACTCCACGCATTACAAGGATTCTGACACACGACTTCCCTCAATACTTCGCTGTTATATCGCGTATACGTCAAGAAGTACACGCCATTGGGCCCGAAGGTATGTTTGTTTATAAGAATGTAGAAGTAACAGATAAATATATCGTCATGAACGTATTCCCCGGTAGAGTAGACAGAAGCATTATAATCTAGCAACGGCGACGTCTAAACGGTAAACATAATAGTTGTTATGCCCAGGTATTGTTTAGTTTGAAACTAACGGGGATGGAAGCGAACCTTCTACATCTTTCGGAATAATTTGGTTTGCTTGCGTATACACATATTACAAAATATATATACACTTAGCCCGTATCAATATCAAGTTGTATTAACAGTTTTTTTACAGTAATATCCCATATTAAATATTTATTCTTATTTTTATGAACATAAAAGTTAATTTGTTTACTATTTACCTCGTAAAGCTTAATGGCTAAATTAGTTGTGAGATCTGGTTTACCCATAATATTTGTTATGGGCGGCAACATGTACATATTTTTAGTCACGTGCACTAAGATCTATACTGATGTTAACTCTACATTCACATTTAGGTGGCATGGTATCAAGTTCAGTGGTCCCTCAAGTGCAAGCTGTATTCCCTCAGGGCGCGCTCACCAAGAAGATCAAAGTTGGCCTTCAGGTAAACCTGTTCAAACCCAGAAAAGGTGTCAAAGATAAAAATCTTAAAAAGATCACTGTCAACAACGTGTCCAAGAAGAAACGTTTTTCTCTCATTTGGTAGTACTTACTTATATACGTAAATAGTTTATATATTTTCACTAGCCTTCACTTAATACACTTGATTAACAAATATGGCTATTTTACCATAAACATTAGCTCTAGGATATTATTTAGCATAACGGTTACCAAAATTATACGACCGACAAAGTCGGACCATAAACATTTATATATAAGTTAAATATTATAGACGTATGTCATAGGATACTTTTATATTAATTTTGTATACTTTATATCTGATTTAATTGTATTAATATAATTTAGTACTTACAATTTTCTTCATGAATAAATTATTATTCATCGACGTATTAACACAGAATTAATTGATCTGTTTTATGTTGACTGACTACATTTATTTTTGATAGTTTATTATTATCTTTAGACATGTAACTTACGTGTTCATATTTAGGTGTTACTTTTAGTTTATTGCCAAAACGATTGTGTTCATAAAATTTATCGGAATAAGCCTAACGAATCATAAACTGAGAGTACAAAGTGTGAATGCCAAATTTTTTTACCTCAACTATCGATGTTTTATGTTTCATAGATTTTTTTATAGGGATACAGAAAATAAAGTGACATTTTTAATAAATATATTTTCAAATATGTGAATTTTAAATAGAAGTAGCAAATAATTAATTATCTGTATCTCTATATTAAAATTTTTAAGATAAATGAAACTAGTTTTTTAGGTTTATTTAAAATATGTCACATATCGTGTTTGTATTCATTATTATTAATTGTAGACGGTTTTATTTTAGATATTGTTATCGTATAAGAGATTAGCTATTTTGTCACCCTAGCATAAGTTGTGCGTTACTCCGCTAGATATAAATTCATACCCAATAAATTTAGAAAATTCTTAAAAATGTTTAAGTCCTATTTATAATTGTACGAATGAAATCTTCAATAAAATCACATTTTAGTCAAAGTTTGTTTTCAATTTAAGCAAAATTGAAATATATGAAATCACTTTATATATAAAAAGTGCAAGACACTTTCTCACACATCGTTCTTTTTGCGATATATCCATTTATGTAATGTATTGTATTTTCTCTAGTTGGTCTTTAGGTGAAAATGGCATGACTCGTCAATATATAATGAAAACGTGAATGATAATGTAATATACATATTATATATAAATATAGAATGAAAACTTATTGTATAATGTGTGTGAATTACTATAAACTTAAGTTTTTTCTGGAGTGACGTGTGTCTAGTTAATTAGATTAAGTATTTTTAAGATGATTGCTAAATTTATTGGGTAATCTATGCTTTTGCAATTGTTACATGGATGTTATTCAGATATGTACTTTATTTCCTAAAGACCAAACGTGAGAGTTGCATGCGATGTACATATATTATTTTGTTTGCCGTATTATTTATCGATGTTTGAGCTTGATTAGTAATAATGTGTGCTGCATTTTGAATTTGAAGCGCATGTGTGAGAAACAGATGAAAGTATGCAATACGCTTATAAACTACATACATTTCCTTTAATGCTTTTCCTGTGATTTCATATGTTCATATTTGCTTAATTTTGCACCGGCTGCTCTTCACCACTTACCTGTTTTATTTTTATTACTCAAGAAATTAAATCATTGAACAACTGGAAACAAAACAAATATTTGTGGCTTATATATTATGTGAGGTAATGCATTATCATCTCAATGATAAGGTGAGTATCGAAAACAATGATTATTTTTTTAAAATCACAAAATACTTATTCCTCACAATGCATGTCAGCTTCGATATTAACGTCGCGTTTGGTCTTTAGAAGTGTTTATATTATATAAATTTACACAATCTCGATAACTGTAATGTATATTGTATGATTTTTAGGCACAAATAATAGACTCTGAACTTACTGCCAAACTTCTTGGTCGTGGAGTGGCGGTATCTCCAGTGGTCACTGTTGAACCCCGAAGGCGAAAGTTCCATAAAGCCATAACGCTGAGCATGCCGGCTCCAAGACCACACACCCAAGGAATGACCAATCAGTACAGCACGTCATCAGCTCCAACATTAAGACTACTATGCTCCATATCAGGTAAAACTAAAATAGTTTGTTTTTATCTTTCTTGCAGATCTAACTGCTTACTAGAAAATATTGTTGCCTCATTAAAATCAAATATTTTTAATTCTATTAAATACTTTTTATAGCACTTCCTATGGTACCGTCACTTTGTTGAAGATTTTTGAGAATAATAAAAGGTTTTACGCCAACAATATTTTTAGTAAGTAGTAAAAGACTGTGAAGTGTTGCAATGGAGTATGGCTTATGTTTGCTATATTGATGACTTAAAAATGCTTGCACTGATGAAAGGTAAGTGTGCCTATATCAAGTATACATACTAGGCTTATGGATACTCCTTTGCTTTAAATTTTATTAGGTATAAAATATATTTAAGATGACCAATATTCCATTACAACACGTTGGTAATGTAGAAAAATATTTATATTATACTTACATAGAGAACGATCATCCAATCTATTATTTAAATTAATAGTATTAAAATTACATGAGATCGGTAGTTGATAGTTCAATCATTTTAAAATTTCATAGTGAATAGTTCCAAGTGGTTATTATATAGTTACTTCGATATTTTTATAGATTTTTCTCTGTAATAAATCTTATTGACGTTAATATTAATTAGAGTAGATAATAAAAACAAATAGTATTAGGATAGTTCTACATCTCCCAATTTTCTAGACAACGGGATGAGCATGTAATTTTGAAAAGAACATTAGTGTAGATTTATATATATTTCATAAATACAAACAATAACAAATGGGTGTATGAAATGGAACAAATTGGGATTACGGTATAAACTGAAGCGCTTATAGCAAATACACTGAGCAGCTAACGGGACACGTCCCTGTGTGTGCGTTTTGTGCGTGTCTACATTGTCTTTGTTCTCGTGTGTTTGTGTGTGTTGCACGCTCACCGTGTGTGGCGCTAAAATATGTGCTGCCACCTATCGGCGCGCACCAACAGGGGTATTTCGCAAACGATCTCTCGAAGGTAAAAAATTAGTAATACTATACAAATACTATAAAAAAGAATCGAAACGTCGGTTTCAGTTTTGTATTAATTTGATTTTCTAAATTATTTTCTCCTATACGTTTCGAATTTTACGTTATTATTTTTTTCATAAGTCATTATTTCGATGTGATATTTATACTCTATTTTCTGTCTTTATTTTAAAGAGTATAACTATCAAATACATTATTTTCTACCCTCTATCACTTTTTGAATGCTTTCCATTTATCTTGCTTCTCATAAATTCTTCCTCTATGCACGGGCTGAAATTTTACGCTTTGTTAAATCACAATCACTCTGTACCATATCCATTAATAATTCTTGGGACATGAAGAGAATGCACTGCGATTTTTCACTGATCGTTGTCGGTTTTAGATCGATTGTATAAACAGGAGTCTTAGTCATAATTGCAACTTATATTTGGCACTTTAAGAGAATAACACATTAAAATTACCTGTTTTGTTTAGTTTAAGCATAAAACAGATGGGATAATAAACATAGTGGTGCCATGTAATCATCCTCATTTCATAATTCAGCGTCTGTGTTCCCAATATTTCCTTTGCTCGTACTAATCAGAGTTCTTTTCCAAAACGGCCTATCAGTTCTGTTCCACATCATCTTCTCTTTGTTTGTCTCATTTCTGTTCTCTTCTTGTCATTGTTTCACTGAACACAGTTTTAGTTCCGTCGTTTTTTTTTTATTTTGAATTTGGGTTATTTTTAGTGAATGTCCTTCGAGAGATCTGTTTTCCGAATAACCGAATCAGTAATTTTTACAATTTGTTGACAAAGTAGAATCATTGTTTTCATTTTGAGACTAAAGCACTATATTTTTAAGAGACAGGTGACCGTAAATAGTGTGCCACAATATCAGTCACATTTTCATTTAAAACAGTATAAAATGGTACGTTATTTGTTTTCGTGTGATGTGTTGTCTTTGCTTGTTGTGTGTTTGCTATAGGCCGTTTTGGAAACATTTTATTATTGTTTTTATTTATTTGTTTGTTAACCTATCTTTCTAATTTCTAATCTTTCTTCTACATCGGTTACTGAATACAAAATGTTACTGTTTGTCATAAAAATTCTTCACATTTCTGTACAAAAACTATTTAAGTATTATAGAATATATTTAAACTAACGTTATTTGATATATAATTCGATAAGTAGTATATAGATAAGAGAAAAATATACGTAGACGGACTGCTTTGGCATGTGATTTAAATTTGTAGACTCATAATCATTGTGGCAGTATCGACAGCTAAAAACTGCCTTATTAGCTTCCATGATACTAGTAGCAAATAAAAAGGCATCTTATTGTAGAAGCAAATAGTTTATAACAAAGTGGCATGTGTTTAAATGGAATCACGAATTTAATAACATGCAATAGTATATTTGTGAATACAGGAGGAACAAATCGAGCGCATTGGGAAGATGTTACGGAGAATACACCACTTACTTTTGTAAATGATTGCGTATCATTTACCACAACCGTCTCGGCTAGATACTGGCTAATTGACTGTCGTCATATCGAGGATGCTACTAAAATGGCAACTGAATTATATAGGCAAGTACTTGTTAACAATAAAAATAACAACCTGGGATGATCCACACAGATATCTAGACCCTAACTGAGCAATGTAAAGGGAAGGGAAAGATAACTGTTATATTATTTTTTTTGCATTCATACGCAGCAATAGAAATGTTTGCATTCCCGTCTAGATTTTAGGTGTTGTTTGATGGGATACCTGTTCAGAGATTATTTATCTCAGTATAAATTCCATGGATGCTTCCATTTGATTACAGTACTTCGTTTTGTGGGAGACATATACTATAGAGTATAAAGTTCTTGGACAACCAGTATTAAATAGTTTATTCATTGACATCATCGTAGTTATATAAATTTCTAGTTATATGAATAGCTGGCGTACTATTATTTCTGATTTAATATTTTAGGGAAGCGATTCACGTACCTTTCATGGCTCGTTTTGTGGTCTATGCAAAACGTACAGACGAATGCCAAGCGCAACTACGCATGTTCTGTGTTACCGACGATAAGGAAGACAAGGCATTAGAACGAATTGAACGCTTCATACAAGTCGCTAAGAGTCGAGACGTTGAGGTAAGATGTAATTTAATGTTGTATAATGTACGATTAATTAGTAGACTATAAATATAACATAATACACCTACAGAGTTACCTTTACCTGTACATCTCGACAAAGAACTTGATAAAATAATAATCTATGAAGTATGAGGATACTACGTTGAATGTGATAATCTTCCGATGTAAATTTTTACCATAAATTAAAAATATACAAAAATTATTGTGTTTTTCCAGTCGGGTATAAGTATACCAACTGTAATTGTGGAAAATGTTGGAAGAAACAACTTGAACTCTATTAACTGTGTGAACACTTTCTATAGTTTATAGTTCTTGTGTCCAATAATACGGGCCAGACCTGAATATATCGACTTTAAGTAATAATTTTAGTTTGCTCTTCATCCATTAGACAGGCAAACAAAGTGACGGCCTATCTGATGGTAAGCGATAACCGTCGGCTACATAAATAAATAGCACTACATTATCACATAACTCCTACGATGCATTGCCATTCCAGAGGACTAAGATGTCATGCCTCTTATTTTGTATTTTTTTTCGAGATTGTTCTACTCTGCGCTTCTAAGTCGCTGAGAGTGAGTCACTCGAGAACTATGCTAGTTTGGTTCTTAAATCCTTGTAATCTTATTCTGAATATTTAATTTATATTTAAGGTTCATGAAGGCAAACCAATTTATTTAGAATTTGGCGGTAATCTCGTACCAATAGCAAAATCTGGAGAGCAACTCGCAATACCGTTCCGAGCATTCCGGGAGAACAGAGTTGCTTTTCCGGTCATGATAAAGACCCAAGATTTGGAACCGATATGTAGATGCCAGTTCATGAGAGATCCCAAGGTTCCTAAAGGCGAACCATCGCCAGCGCCGGTAAGTGTTGAACTATTGTATTATGTTGCATATTGACGATTTTAGTATCTATATGTGCCTTCTTCTTCTTCTGTATTGTATTTAGGATCTATATTGAGATATACTATAAAAAAAATACGATTTATTCAAAACAGAATCATAACCACGAGCTTGCTTTAATTTCTTTTTGGGTAACATGAATAAGATAACCGAAAATAGTGAATAGTTAATGGATTATTTGATGTTAATATTTGATTTTTTGTAATTTTACTAGATTGCGGTACTCAATATAATGGTACCAGATGATACTATAATGGAGAGGACCAGCCCAATACCAACCGATTCACTTCCACGTCGAACCGTTGAGCAAGAATTGATATGGCGGCAGCGACTAGGTGATCCAAGGTAATTTGAAGCCCATCATCTACCTATATCAGCGTTTAACCATTTAGCCCACAAACCACTAGAAAATTAGGCACAATTTCAAGGACCAATTAATAAAAAAACCACAAGAATACTAAGAAAGAAAAATATACATAACGTTTACGAAACTAGCTGGAAAGTATGTATTCCTTTAAATATTCATGGAGAAGATGGCTGACCTCTAGATTTATCCGAGGGGATATATTCGCAGAACTTCAGAGGTCCGCGGACCACAGGAAGAAAAACTGATTTATATCATCTCTCTATTTAACCACAGATCGAAACAGTAAAGGCGGATAAAATGTATCTAACAGACTACATAGGCCTCTATTTTTATTCACAATCGCTACAATATTCGATATTCTATAAAGTGTTTTCATTGATCTATTTTATTGACTGAATACATGATTTTTTTAAATTTGTTGGTATTATAGTCGGTCTGCTAAAGAAGATACGGCAGGAGTTTAAGGTATTATTTATTTTTTAGATTGGAAGATATATGTAATCTCCTTAGTAAGGATTGGGTGGCTCTAGCATATGAGCTTGGTGTTAGTGTTGCAACTGTGAATCAGATTCAAGCGAAAAGAATCACAGCACCCGAACAGGCTCAACTTATGCTCAAGCTTTGGAAGACTCAATCTGGAACTAAAGCTCAAGGTAAAGTAATAAACACCAAGTCAAATCATAAGGATACAAATTATTGTCGATATATACAAAATTTCTGAGATTTGCACAATGTTTGAAAAATCTGCACTTTTCTAGTTATAACACGTCACTTTGCTGGCATAAATCGTTACTGGCACATCATACTATATAGCCTACCTAACCTAATTTATATTAACATTGCTTTTAGTAATATTCATGTCCTAGATAAAAGAAACTTTATGGTAAATCCTTATCCATGGTGTAGATTTTCTAAACTCCATCTACGTATCCTATAATAGGAACTTAAATGGAAGATACCTCATAGCTACATACTATTATTAACGCTCTCGCTCGTTGTAGACAAGGGTGATGTTATATTTAGATTCAATATTTCAAATATTAACTTTTAGATAATTCACTGGAACTGGCGCTATGCCGGATAGGCAGAGATGACATTATTGCTCCACAATCGGAAGTTACAAACGAACGACGAATACAACGTAATATATACCAAGAGAGACAAGCCTCTGAAGAAATTGAGGCATATAAAGGTAGAAAATAATATTTTATTTTATTCACCCCTTATATTTTAATAAATATCTATAAGAGATTTCATTTTTATATTTTATTTAATACAATGTCTATTTTAGCTGAAGAAGACAATAAACTTAAAGATAAGATATATGATGACAATCAAACAGCAGAGCACAGAGATTTGGAACACGATCAAGATGAAGCTAAATATTCACCTGAAGAAAAATCTATCGTAGACAAGAGTGAAATAGAAAGAACTCCTACTCCTAGCGAAGAAAGCGAAGAAGATGAAGGTGAAAACTAATAAATTTAATTTAATATAATAAGTTTATTAAACAATCGTAATGATAAGCATTAAGCGTTATGGTATTTTTTTTTATTTTTTATACTCATTGGTTTTTATTCAAATACTTCCAGACATAAAGCGCAGTGTAGCTGAGAGAAAGGAACAAATAACCAGAAAACTAAGTTCTAGCAAAATACCAGCATCGAAACAAAAGAAAGAAATACGTGAAGAAATTATAGAAATTAGAACACAAATTAAACCCGACATAAAAAAATTCCATGACATCGAACAACAAGTATGTGATTAATCCAATATAATATTCTTATTTGAATGTATTGCAGATTTAATTTAGTTATTTTACAGGTAAAGGAAAAAGAACCAAAATTGGAAAGAACAAGGTCTAAAACTTCACCAGATACCGTTGAAGAAGAAATTGAAATAGAAATTCATAAAGACATTAGTGTAGTAAAGAAAGAAGAACCAAAACCAACTGAAAGGCCTATAGAACAATTTAGAAAATTCGATCCATCGTCTCCTGCGAAACCTACACCAAAACATTTACAAAGACATATGAGAAATGAATCGATGAGGTTTCCCTCCGGTGACTTTTCGAATGTCACTATTACACCTCGAAAATCAGTAACGGCTGAAAGCACTGAAGTAAAACATATAGCAGAAAGTAAAATGGATTCTTTCACAAAAGAAATAATATCTCAAAAAGAAATCGTCAGTTCTAGAGTTGAAGAAAAATTAGATGATGGTGATAAATCACCAGACATAATATCGGAAGAAAAGGATATGGCTGAAACAACATTAAAAGACAAAATAAATTCATTTGAATCTAAAATGATCAAAGACCCTTTAGTTGACATACCTAAGACAACTGTGAAGTTAACTAAAGAAGCTTTGAAAAAACACACAATGGAACAAGACCAAGGGATTGAATATACACAAGAATTTGTTAGAGAGCAGTCGAAGCAAATATCGACTATGGAAACGCATGAACATATTACTCACAAAGTTTTAATAGAAACTGAAAAACACGTTGGAGCTGTCAAATCTGTTAAGGAAACAATACAACGATTTGATTCAAAAATAAAACAGGGAGATAAATCTAAATCGACTCCTAAAACAATTAGAACTGATTCTACACTAGTCCAAGTATCATCAGAAGAAGACAATGAATTTTTAAAGAAATCAACAGATTCAGAAACCGAAACTGAATCACAAACAACTATCAAGTTAGAAAAAATGACTAAAGTAAAACTTGATAAAGAATTGTTTGGAAAAAAGGAAGGATTGAATGATAATTTTGAACACCACCTTAAAGATCTCAAACTCAATGACCGAAAAGATGATAAGTATAAACGAGACGATGATGATGATAAGAAAGACGATGAAGGTGTTCCAATTAAAATTAAAAAGTTTGAGAAACAAATGACCACGGAATTACGTAGTAAAGTTAGTGAAGAAGATATATCTGAAGCTATAGAGGAAAAGATTGTTACTCTTAGGGAAAATTTAAAAGAAAGCAAGGTAGGTTTATTCGAATTATGTATAGAATAGAAGTTTACAATACAGACTTCCACATATGATAATTTACATTCACAGTGAATTTGTTTTTAGATTGAAACACAACAGTCGGTAGCAAGTATGATATCAGATATTAGCAAACATACTAAGACCGACTCACTAGGTTCAGATATACAAGATGTAAAATCGTCCCAAGAATCGCCAATTCCATCAGCCATAGGAAAGGCAGATTCCTTAGCTGATTTACAACAAAGTACAGAAAAGGATTTTAGTTTAATTTCACAAACTGAATCTAAGGTGATGGTACTATATTAAAGTAATATCATGAAATTAAATTAAACAATTAATTCATATTCATGAAATATGTAAAGGATTCGGATTAGAGAGCTTAATCAATGTTCGCTACTTTATTTTTATTATTGCCAATAAACTATATCATATCGTTGCTAAATATATTATTTAGTACTATTGCTTTTTTAAAACAATATTAAATAGATTACTTATTTATTATAATTATATAATTTTTAGGTTTACTCAAAAGATTCTAAGCATAGAAGTGATTCTCTTGACGAAACTTCACAATTTTCTGACTTAGAAGATCAAATAGGTACTAGTCCAGCTCACAGACCAATTTTGAACAAAGACACAACAATTTTAAAATCTGTTACTAGTGTAATAACAGATAAGACAGAATTAGCCATAGACCAAACTTTAGAATTTTTGAAATATGAAAGTGAATATAGTTCACAAGTAGACGCTTCTTCTTTCATTATAAGAGATCAAGGAAAGGTAATAATATACACTGTCAGTTATTGTCATCTAATATGTAAGATGTAACTGTACATGATTTCATTTATTAACAGTTTTATCATATCAAATGATATGCGTTACTTGTAACAAAAAGTCAATTTTCTCAAATAAGCATACTGCACTGCGTCCTCTCTCTGCTTTATTTTAACTTTTTTATTTATAAAATATATTTATTAAATCATAACACAAAGAAAATAACTATCCTATATAGGAAATATAGATTTTACTTGAAAATATATGGGATATTTTTTCAGGTATCACCAAAGGATTCACCTGTCATTAGCGCAAAAGCACGCCAATTTATAGAAACCGTGCCAGAAGATGATTCTGTTCAAGAATGTTTCTTTTCAAAACGCATATATTCAGATTCATTAGAGGACTCTGAACATACTGACTCAAGACGTCATTCGGAAGCTGAATCTCTAAAATCAGATCAATCTGACGTAAAACAAAAAGTATCTTCATCAGATTTCGATGAAAGAGCAGAATATGAAGAAACAGCTGATTCTGGCAGTGGTTTTGGTGACGAGAAATTTGAAGAAAGTATTGGTTTTACTTCTATAAAAATAGATTCAAAAGTTCTTGACTCAGACAAACAAGATTCAGAATCAGACAAAGAAACTGATGTAATATTTAAAAAAATGGGACCAAAGCGACACTCCAGAACAGAATCCATATCTATCTCAAAATTAAGTGATTTACAGATTGATATAGAGCCACCCAAACTAAAACAAGAATTTCAAATGATTGTGACGGAAGCTGAAGAAGCTAACAAATCTTTTGATAAAGAAGAAGTGTCAGATAAAATTTCTTCAGAAAGTAGCAGAGAGATTGAGATATCTGATAGAAAGTCGTCTGAAGGCATTTCCGATAAAATCAGTTCAGAAGATGCAGTAACGGATAAAAAGTCATCTGAAGATGATGCTGCGAAAGAAGGAGATCGAATATTAGACAATGAAAAAGATAGAAATATAGATTTTGTCGTTAAGGAAATTATTACAGAAACAGTGGATATTCATGTTGAAAAAGTTAAAATATTGAAAGACGATACTATCGAAAAGGGTAAGTAGTATTTAACATGCAAAAATTAAATTTGTATGTACTCATTTCTATGAAACAATATAATAAATAATTTCTTACAATATTTTAATGTCGGTATACATATTGCAGTTGATGTGATGAAACGTCAGTCTGTAACGTCGGCAAGCTCAGGATCCGGTGCTGAGCTTCGTTTAGAAGAGAAACGTCTTTCAGATGCTCATAGTTTAACGGAGTCTAAAGATTACACATTCGAAGAGTCGGAAGATGATATTGGTACGCAAGGAACTCATGTTGATTTCTCTAAGGATAAACAAGACTCAAAATATGAAACGGAATCTAAAACTAAAATATCGACAGGTAAAATGTATTAATTTTATATTAAGACTGATGTATACATAATTTAGTGGTAAAGTTGGTATATATAATAGAATAAGTATTGGCAATGCGCATGTGACGTCCCTGGTGTTTCAGACGTTCTTAAGATACGGTAAACGTTTATTATCAGATGGTTCGTATTCTTAATTATCACTATCGTAGTATAAAAAAAATTAATAACAACTTTGGTTCAATTTCAGGAAAAACAACCGAACAAGCTAAACTTGCTAAGTTAACACATGGCGACTCGTTAGATGATGTTGAAGGTTTTCCAGAAGATCACGTTGCTGATTATGTACCTAAATTACCACATATTGCTGAAATTGGGTGAATAATTAATTCAATATTTCGTTTTAAATTTGCTATTTTAATATATGTCGTGTAAAACACGTGACAATGAAATTAAAGAGTTTGGGTGGCTCAATGCGCATAATTATTATCTATTTGATTGTACTATATTTATATTTTTGTACCATATATATTCTTTAAATAAAAATTGTCCAGGACAATTTTTGCTCTATTTTTACTTCTAAAATAATATTTTTTGGCACAATTATATATTTATGATATTATAAATAATAACAAAATATATTTTTAGATCATTATCGGATAAAAATATGGTAAGTGAGTTTTTATGCAGGGAAAGAGAAGAACAAATAAAGCGAGAAACTATTTCTACTATTAAAAGTGAATTGATAATTGCTTCTCAAAAAAATATAGTATTAGAAACAGCAGACGATAAGAAAATATCTGAAACAAAAGAGGCAGTGCAACCGCACATTAAAGAGACTAAACAAATGACTGTAAAGAGTAGTAAATTTGATGTCTCTAAAATTCGAACTGATACTCTTGGTAAATTTGATGCTGAGAATATCGAAAGTCTAAAAGATAAAAAGTTTGCCCCTAAGGATTTGGAGTTAAAAGAAAGTTCAGAAATTACAAAAGAACAAGTTAAACCTGTGATTGACGATATTTTACAAAAAGGCTCTATTGCTGCAGCATCACGTAGTCCAATATTAGATAAAGATATAAAAAGTATTACTAAAGATGTAACTGAATCCGAAAAAAGATCGTATGATGCTAAAGTACCACAGAAAGAAGAGAGAAGACATTCATGTATTAGTCCTGCTATATCTCTTGAAAGGATAGCCGAGTCTGAAACAGAAACAGAGGATGAAGTACCTAAAACATTCAGTAGCATGATTACTGAGACTAAAGTAACAGAAATAAAATCAGAAATGAAAAAATCCGATTCGGCTATGAAGCAAATGGCGGATAACATAGAGATTATTATAAAACAAGCTTCAGAAGAGGTTGATGTGTCCCTAGATGAACCTTTGATTGAACCTCAAAATCAAGATATTGCAGGTCAAGTGTCTGTTGATTCTATTATAGAAGAAGCTGTCACTACTGTCGAAGAATACTTAGAATCCTCAAAAGACATAAAAGAACGTGAAATAGAAGCAAAGAAAGAAATTGTTTATGAAGAAACAAAGAAATTTGTTAAAGAAAGACCGGGTTTAATAAAATCTCTATCGCGGGATAGTGGCGAAATAGTTATATTACCTAAGAAAAAACATCCACGCACTTTTTCAGTTCAAAGCTCACCTGAAGAAGTTGAAGAGCAAATATACACTGATTCTGAATCGGGTAAGTGTTATGGATATTTTTAAATAAATGGTTGGTTAAATATTACTTATTAATTTTATATTATGTTTCTTAGATATGGACAAAGCAAAAGTTTTAGAAATAATCGAACCAAATTCGGATTATGATGGTAAAGTAGTGGAGACTAGTTTTGATGCTAGGAAGATTAGAACTGATTCTCTTGATGATGCTGATGATTTTCCAGAAAAAGAGGTCTGTATAATAAATTATATCAATATTGATTTATTTATACATAGCTGTTATTAAGAGTTATTGTTTTCTATTAGGCTGAAGACTTCGGGGATGATACAAAGTACGTAGAAGATTTCCCAGAAACTTTTAATGGAGTCAAATTTGATGATAAACCACAAACTTCAACTCATTTTGACGATGATAAATCTTCAGAAAGATTCACTAAAAAAACACAATTCGTAGATAGAATATTACATTCTGATTTAGTTTCAAAATCGACTACAGAATCTTCAGTAACTACCGTTATATCTTCAATTACAAAGTCATCAGATGACGATCAGAAATCGGTATTAGAAGATGGTACATCAGCTGACTTCTCTAAACTAAGTGGCGCAGATCTAGCTAAAGATCCTTCTAAAATGTCTTTTGATGCAAAAGATGACTCTAGATTTGAAGAAGTTGATGATCGAGGAACTCCAGATTTATCAAAAAAATCTATAGATTTAACAAAAGATTATTCAAAATCTTCTATTGATAGTAAAGATACATCAAGAGATTTTGCAACTAATGAGCTATCTAAAGATTCAACTGTTGATTTGACGAAAGACTTTTCAAAAGCCTCTGTTGAAAGTGTAAAAGAATATTCGAAATCTATTGACGAGAAGACTTTCTCTGACGATCACTCTTCATTTGACGCTTCAAAGACATTAGCATCCGACGTATCTGATGTCATTCCAATTAGTAAAGAATATATAGAAGAAGAAGAAAAATCAATATCAAGAGTTATAAAAATTTCGTCAAGCTCATCCCGAGAAACTTCTAATATGGCAGAAAGCAGTATATTGCTGGATGAAACAGAAGACAGATCATTGGATAAAGTCAAAGCTACAGAAAGAGATATTGAAAACGACTTTATCGGTGAAATTGATGAAAAAATTGCAGAATTAAAATCTGAGTTCGAAAAGGAAGAAGAAAGTGCAAAATTACCCCTTGAACAATTTAAAGACATAGATCAAAATTATAAAACAAGTGAAGACAGTAAAAGAGAATCTGATAATATTCCTGATAATACAGAATTACATAGAAGGTGTTCCAATCTTTTAGATGATATATCACAAGGAGCTCTTATAAGAATAGATTCGAGTCATGTAGCACATGGTCAGTATTTATTTCTATTTTTATTATGCATATGTGTTTTATACATATATAGTATAATTTATTTACAATATCAGAAATTCTCGCTACAACTAATTCAATGGAGATACGGAATGTATCTCCATTGAATTAGTTGTAGTGTGAACATATCTAAACATGAAAGAATGAGTGAATGACATATGAGTGTGGAGTGAAGGTATAATTGAAAGAAAAAAAGATTATTGAGAGATGGAAAAAAAGGGCAAAAGATGTGCACCAAAAATATACTTAGTATTAATTAAACAACGTATAATGAGCAAAGGATTTTATTGTGAAATTCTCAACCACCACACATATCTATGTATAATAAAAGTGAATAATCAATATTTTTATATTTTTGTATATCTATTTTTTACACAGACTTGGTGTCTAAATTCTCAAAAACCCCACCTCCATCACCAGTTGATCTAATAGTAAAAGACAAATGTAAAACGGAGGAAGGCACTGGCGATAAGCAAACCGGGCTACAACTAAAAGGTACATTTGCACATTACTATATGTAGGTATTTCTTTTATACCTTATGAGTTATTCATTATTAATGAAACCCATATTTAACCAAATAGTCAGTAGCTATAACAAAGAACCTTTTTGAACAAACACGCATTAAGTAGTTTGTGTAATTGTATTGTATTTTTAAAATAAAACAAACATTTCTTTCATAATTATACACAATTTCAGTAACAGTTAACAGAGTCACGTAGAAAACGTTGTTCTTAAATATGTGGATTAATAGTAAACATTGACAGAGGTGTTCCCGACATAAATTACTATAAGTAGATGCTAGAAGTAGTAGCTAATATACCATTAAACGTAGGTTCCGATTCTTCGTTCCTGGATGCAAGTCGTCAGTCACCAAGGGCATCGTCTGCTGGAGATAGCCTTATTAGCGAGACTGAGGCACACCAGAGCGGTCAGTGTTTATTCACACAATAGTTTTAAAGTATAAAATAAAAAAAAAAAATTATGTTTTCATCAGACGGTTATTTAATAAAATATTTGTTTATGTTCACGTATCAAAATCATACAGTAAAATTAACTATAAAATATAATGTAAAGATATTACAGGCTTATTGCAGTGAAAGTAGTGGCAAAGTAGAGTCATAGCGAAACTTTACTCCTAATTTTAGTAGAAGCAATCATTGTCATAGAGAGTCTTGTTTGCCACACTCTTTAGTTTTATGCCAGTTATCGCATGTGTATTTTGTAATTCAGTTCCACTCTTATATATGTAATATAAGACTTTGTTCCCAGAAATATAATTTCTAATAATAACATCGAAATTGAATTTATGCATATTTGGTAACGGAGTCCTTTAAATTAAGTAAATTATAAGCACAATGATATTAGATACCAATATAAGCACTCCCACTTCATTTAAACTGTAATAATTAAAAAAAAAACGATATTCGAGAAAAACCATATGACCTTGTTTTCAATAACCTGTCACAGTCAACAATTGTCAGCACAGTAAATTTTATTTTCTTTTTTGCGGAGCCCTTACGTTGCAATAGGTAAGTGGAGCCACAAGCAGAATCGAAATTTCATATATTTTTTTCATGAATTATTCTTGCTTTGTTTTTAAAAGGATTACTACTATTTATCTTTAATTCGCAAATTTTTTCACCACATCAATCACATAGAGTAATGTTTCGCTTTGATTCTAAATCTTTCATTGTTTAATTTTACTATCATTTTAAAGCTTCCATCGCTGTTGTCTACACTTTTTCATCACACTTTTATATATAATTTAAGCTTTAGCACAGGCTATTTAAAATAGCAATGGATATAAGATCAGTCGTAAAAAAATGTTTTAAACTTTATAAAGACATTATAAATTGAAGAACACAATAATACTATGACAATCACCAAATTCAAACTATAACTTAAATAAAGCACCTTATATTATTTAGTTTTGGTTGCATTTTTATGCGAATTTCTTCTTTACAGATGTACTGATGGAGGCATCTAAGGTGCTAAGTGAAGCAGCCAGACCAAAATCTCCGGTTAAACATTTAGCAGACAATTTGTCATTTATAAATGTTGATCAACCAACATTAACTAGTGGAGCAATAGAATTAGTTGATAGAACTATAGAAAAAAGTATTGATGTTATTGATCAAATAAAAAAGGAACAAATCGCAGTTAAAATGGAAGAAATGCAGAAATCTATATCGTCCGCTGATACTTTTTTTACTGAATCCAGAATTGAAACTTCAACTTCATCTTCTTCAGTACACAAAACTTTTGAAGGCTCCGAGTTAAAATTCCAATCAATTGATCCCGAAGCAGCTATGTCTGATATGGTTGCTAAATTTCATACAACGGATGATTACAGTACAATTTTATCTCATAAAGAAACTGAAACACGCAAAATATCAGGTCAAGAATTTTTTTCAGAAACTAAGCAAGTGTCGTCTTCTGATGATGATTCTCTTATTATTAAAACTGAAACAAAACATGAACTGCGTGGTCAAGAACATCAAATCAGAGAAAAGACAACGGTACGCATAGACGGTGATCAAACGGAAACTTCTCAAAAAAAGACAGAAAGAGCTCATGAAGCTTCAGCAAAACGATCTGATTTGGAGACCAAAACAGTGTTTAAAAGTACAGATGATACAGATATAGTTAAAGTAGAACGAGAATTCTTAGAACAAGGATTGTATACGGGTCGACAAACTAAATCAGAAGAAAAAATGACTGCTTTGAAGGATGAAACAATAAAGAAGAAACATGAAGTAAAGATATCAGAAAGAGATTTATCACATGAACAATGGGGCAAAGAATATTTCACTGAACCAGGAGAATTAGAAAATATTCAAGAAGATGATGATACGAAGTCTAAAAGAGCATTTATCGATTCATCTCTTAAAATAGTCGAAAAGGATGAAGTTGTCTCTAGTACCGAAGTTTCAGAAAAAGGTAGAATAATTAGTTCAAAGATTGAACATCACAAAGAAGAATCAGTAATAGAAAGTAAAGATCATGACGATCTTAGTTCAGATGCCTCACATGCTCCTAGTTTTAGGAGTGAGACAGCTGAAAGATGTGGTTCTTCTGAAGCAAGCCCAAAAAGTAAATCGAAGTCCTTTAAAAAAGATAATGAGATATATGAAGTAGATTTTATTAAAGAAATTAAAGTTTCAACATCACCTGTTAAAAGTACATTTAGTCGTACTGGAAGTCAAGATACCCATTCTGAATCAGAAGTTGTACCAGAGTTGCCACATGATGATAAAATTGGTGATACATTTAAGAAAGAAAAAGTAAAGTCACCTATTAAATTACCACAACATGAAATAGAAGATCAGCTTTGGGAGATGTCTTTTCAAAAGAGGGATTCTTTTGAAATGGCTGATGACACGCCAAACTCATTTAAGCGAACTGATACTACTCTAGAATCATCTACGGGCAAAAAAAGTTCTGATAATGATACTATTTTAGAACTTAAAAGCGTTGTTGAAACTAGCACTGAACTCTTTAGTAAGCCGCTCAAAACAGATATGTCACCAAGTACTTTTGAGATTACTGATGATATTAGTACTACTTCTAAAGATATAATGATAAAATCTGGAGAAAGCATTGACACTGAATACATGGTTAAGTCTTTAGAATCTCACGAAGGTGAAGTGTTACAGAAATCTATAGATTCAACGGTTAGTGCCGAAACACTACATGCATCAGAGTTCTCTACTGAAGCTGATTCAGCATTTTTAACAGGAACGGATCATAAAAAAGAAGAAATAAAACTCGTGAAAGAAAAGAGTATGGAGGACATTTGTAGTAGCGGTTATGATACTGATCTTTCCTCTGCCGAGTTTCATGCGACGAAACTTGAGTCAGAACGTGTGGATTTTGATACATTAATGTCTGCTCAGCCACTCGCTGACTTATCAGTTTTGGAAAAAACCATAGATGAAGTCAAGCAGTCTCTTGAAGCAGCGCAAGTAGAAATCATTAGCGAAAAAAGTGATGGTAGTAGCAAATACAAACAATCCCCATCGGAATTTCAATTCAAACTTTTAATAAGTCCAGACAGACCCGAAGTTATAACTGAAGAACCACAACATGGGGATGACCAGATCGATAAAAGTGCTGTACAACTTGTAAAAGAAAAAGTAGCCTTAGATAGTCAACAATCAGAAATCATGTCATATAAAGTAAGTTCTCAAGAAGAAACAACTTCAGATGATGAAAGAGATACTGTAAATATAAAAGAATCTAGTCCACCCTTAGACGGCGATATATCCATAAGATCAGATAGTGGTCCACATTCTATACTAGAGACAGAAAGTGAAATTGTTCTGTCTGATCGAGACGGATCTTCTAAAGGCAGTCCAGAAGTTAAATTAAGAGTTCAAAAACATATAAAATCTAAATTAGGAATTGTAGAGAGACGGTCTGCCTCTGAAATAGAAGGATGGTCTAGCTCTGGTGAAAGTCATTACCATAGCTTTGAGCAATCTGAAAGTAGACCTTTGTCATCAGATGTAGATGTTATGATGACAGCTCAAAGCGGAACAGAGTTTGAATCTGCATTAACAAGCCATGATATTTCGTCTCAATCTCTGAGAACTTCCAAGGACTATTATACCGCAGCAAGTTCACTCGCTTCGAGAGACAGTATGAAAAGTCTTGACTCCGATGGGTCTAGTCATGTAGCTAGTATTGATATATCTGATGCATCTGAAACACTTGTACCTTCTGCAAATGAATTAAAGGAGGAATTAATGGAAAGTACAACATATATAGAACAGTTTCTTCATGAAACTGAAAAAGACACAAAGATTAAAGATATGAGTGAAGATGAAGCATCTGGCGATGAAGATGACGATAAAGCAAATGTAATTGAACCTGTTGGTAAAATGAAAAGATCTCATGAAATGCGATTCCAACCAAAAGAAATGATTCCTGAACATTTTCCTATTGAAGGTACCACAGAGAGTATAGAAATTGATGAAAATAAATCTAAAGAAAGAAAGGATTTAGACACGACAATATCTGGTGAATTGAAAACTGATATTACATTATCATCATCATTATCATCAAAACATAAAATACCGACGCCATTGCCTCCTTCAGATACAGAAGCAGATGGTATTCAAGAAGATATTAAAAAAATATCAACTGCTGAACAAAATGCTTTACCTTTTGCAGTTACTAAACTAGATAAACCACAGAGAGAGTTTGTTGACGTCGAAAATGAAATTATTCCTATTGGTTCTTCTGAATATGAAGATATAGTACAATTTGGCAGCATTACTACTGCTACCAAAAAGCCTTCTAGCGAACATACAATCCTTGTGAAAACGATAGCGTATTCAGATGCAACTGTGCCTGAAAAAGAAATTGCCGAAATTGAAGAACAATGTTTGAAAAAAGTAGTAAAAGAGGTTACTGTTGTGCCTTTTCCAATTACTGAGAAAATACCTACTCAGCGAGAATTTGTTGACGTAGAGTCTGAAATCATACCAATAGGTTCAGCACAGTATGAAGAAATATTGAAATCAAAAAGTGATTCATCAGTGCCTAAGACAAAAGTTGAAAAGTCTATCGTGAAAACACCAGATTCACAACTAGAAAGTAAACAGAGTTCTACATCAAGTCTAAAAACTCATGAACACATGTCAACGCCACAGACGCCTTTATCAGCACCAAGTCAAAGTTCTTTATCAACAGATAATGGTCGAGAGTATGTTTTGGATGATATGTATGACATTTCTGAAACACCGGAGCTTAAATCTGAACTTATTACAGAGAGTAGCAAATCTGAGCTCGTAGTAACAACGGAAGAGAAAAATATTGATACTTACGAAAAAGAACAAGATTCACCAAACAGTGAAGAATTTGAATTATTAGATAAGCCAAATGAAATGGATGATTTTGTCGTTATAGAAGAAGTAGCAAAAGAAGCACAAGAAACTGACACGGAAGGGAAAAGTTTGCAAATAAAAGCACAAAAGTATGTAAAACGTCATGATACCGAAGTTGAAGAATATTTATCGAAGACTTCGAAGAAACAGGAAAGTACCAGCAGTACCTCGGGGTCATTATCAGATGAAGAATTGCTTCAGTATGAGTTGGAACAAAAGAAATTACAAGCTCAAGAGTTAGCTGAAATTGAAGCTGGCAAACGTTGGATACAAATGCAGTTTGAAGGAGATCCAAGGTATGATTATGAAAGAGTTCCATTAGAAGATATAAAAGAGGAAGAAATGACTGATTTCGATGCAAGTCGAATTGGTAGTTTAAGTTCTCAAAAAGAATCTATAGGCAGCTATGGCAGTTTTAGAAATTCATACGGAAGCCTTTCTGAATCCGAAATGGCTTCACGTATAAGATTTCGTGTTAGAGGTGAAAATGATGATATTTCAATTAGTTCTTTACAAGAATTTGAAAATCTTGAAAAAGCGTTAATGGAACAATATCAACAACAATCTTCATCTTCACAGGATTCATTAAATGGATCATTGCCTAGACGATATATACTGAGTAAAAGTCAAGGTGATGATATTTCTATATCAAGTTTAAAGGAATTTGAAGGTCTTGAATCTGCCTGCCTTGAAGCACTTAAAGCCGAAATACTTGCCAAACAGAAAGAAGCCCTCTTGTTAGCTGATCCTAAAGAAGTCAGTAGTTGTTTCTTAGAAAGAGAAAAACGCTCTTATAGTGGAAGTTCTGAAAGTAGTCCACCACAAAAAGGTGGTAGTCCCAGTCAAAAGACTGGCAGTCCATCACAAAAAAGTGGAAGTCCGTCACAGAAGGTAGGTAGTTATGGCAGTCCGTCACAAAAAATGTTAACGGATTCTGCAGCTATTAGAAAGCTTATTGATCAACAAATGGCTGTAGAACAAAAACTACAAGAGGTAACACCAAAAGTTATTACTGTTAAAAAGTATGATGATAGAGGAGCATTTTTTGTACCTGAACCTGAACAAGAATCATCTGAATCAAAAACTGCTGAAGTAATAGAAGAATGTACGAAGTCCTCATCTTTTGTTTGCGCTGCAGCTCCTAGCGATGGTTCAGCTGAATCTATACCAGGCGATTGTGAAGAAATGATGAAGATATTAGATCAAGAAGAAAAGTCTAAAACATCAAGTGCCGTTACTAGAACATTTACAGATGGTGGTGTTATAGAAGTTGTAAGAACTACCACCGTCATACAACAGAAATTTGTAGATGGAAAAAAAGTATCTGAAACTGTAACTAGTACAGACGGAGATGGTGCTGTAGATATTCCGGCGAGACCTAAGCCATTTGACGAAGGTTCAATGTCTTATGGGTCTGAAATGTCTTCCTCGATCGTATCTCAGTCATCAGAAATGGATAGTCTGATGACAGTTATGGAAAGACATACATCTGAGGGAGAAGTAGTAACTGTGACGAAACAAACAATAATAATGTCTTCAGATAAACCTGAAGATCTAGAATTTTCAAGGGAAGGAAGTGTCATCCGTGAACTTTCACCTTCATCCGGGAGGTCGATAGCTCACAGCATTATTTCATTTTCTGGTAAACAATTCACAGATCCTGCAAGTGGTTCGTGGAGTGGCCAAGATGAAGAATTGAGTTCATCTGGAAGCTTTAGTAGGTAAGAAAAATGTTAATAATAAAAATAACTGTATACAGTATCTATACATTTTCTGTATGGAATTAGTAAGTATGTGTTTCATATATATGTATGTACGTATGACTGAACTTTGAATAGTATAAAACAATCGTATAATTATTACTTTGACTATGATGACGATGATAAAGACCTCGGTAGTCTAGCGATTTAGAACACCGCCTTGCTTCCAATGGTCGCAAGTTCGCCTTTTTGCGTGGTACAAATATTTGTATTCATAAGTATGATTGTATAGGTCTGGCTGTTTTATATAATATGTGTTTATTTAAAAAAACTTTTAGTATTTGTTTCAGTTGTCTATATACCTTAACAATAGGTATTAAATGGCACTATATGAGTTACCCTAGCCTATTATTATTATTACTTTTGAAAATAATTGAACTTACATATAGACTTTCAAGTACAATTTACGAGTGGTACTCCCATCTAAACCATATTTTATCAAAGACCAATCAATTAACACAATATAAATTATTTTTAATTACATAATGGAGTAGATTTGACATTTTTACGTAATGCACAATAATTTTGTCATGATTGATTTATAATTTTTACGTAAATTAACTCTTATTTATAAAGAAAAACAACATTATTATTATGTGTCATGCCATCTTTCACGTCTAAGCTGATTAAAAAAACAACTGAAAGAAAAAAAAATTATGTTGGACATTTTTTAAGAGAAGAATGTCATATGTATCTTGTGAAAAAAGTTTCACTCGAAAATGACTCACCATATAGGTTTTATATTAATTCAAAGTTTCTATAGTAACGGCAATTTCATACTTTACCTCTACTATATTTAGTTACTTTCTGTAAAATCAGTAGTATATTTACTTAGAGCAATATTTATATAAAATAAATTGATATTAATATTTAATAAATTTATATACGCATTTTTATTTGCTTGCTTTAAAAGATCAACCTTCAAGTTTCTTCGTTGTTCTTCTTGTGATGAGTCTGCGTTCCGAATGAGTGGTAGTATAAAAAATAAGACTAATTCAAAGAACTTATATTAGATAAGTTTATTTGAATATACATATATTATTTCTACTATAGCCACTTTTTTAATAGATGATTTGATCTATTTATAACAGTTTTGTGAATGGTGGAGGGTATAAATTTATACAAGTTTTTTTTTATTATTTAGAGCACGAGCCGATTTGATGTTAGGCAGTACTGACAGCTTAGAAGCCACCAGTTCAAATGCCACCAGGGCGACTTACAACTACGAAGTTGATACACCGATGACAGGGTCTCTTACATCTGGAGGTAAGGGTTTATATTTAATATTTTTAACTCGAAAACTTTGCTTGCCTTATGCTAATTTATATTATCATCGACATGACAATAAGGATTTCGGATTTAAAAAAGTTACGCAATAGGATGTTGAAACTCTTGATATGCCCACATACAATTAGGAAAAATTCTCGAATCCAGTAATTGATTTAATTAAACAAAAACAAAATTCGCGATCAGTAAGTGTATTAAGTATACGTGAAGATAGTTTGCAGAGATGAATATCAATCGAGTTTCAATAACAAACGAAGACGTGTGACGTGTGACGAATATATCTGCCCATAAAAGTTTTTATTTACCATCTACCCGCTGATCTACAGTTTATCCGTGATCATGGCGGTTGAAACACAGCCGAAATATCGGGCAAAACGTGGTAAGAGCCCGTGATTTTTCTTAATTGTATGTATTATATAAATAATCACCGCGTCAAATTTAATACTCGATATACTCGTAATTAATTTGAATTTAATGTTATTTTTTTTAATTATTATCGATATTTTCAATTCTAGAGAGTTAATCAGACATAAAAAATTACATGCAATTCTTTTTGATTTGGATATATTTGAAATCACTTTATTTTGACGGGCGGGGTCTCTATATCATAAAAGCATGCTAGTTTAAAATCTTAACAGGATGTTTCGGTACGGGTCTGAAGTCCTTAAACTCATATTATTATATAAATTTCAAGTGTATTATTATAAACTCGTATATATAAATATATTTTATGTAAACATTTACATCTTAAATAATCAAAGTACATTTTATTGTATTTATTACTATAATATTCAAATATTATGCATGAAAATTTTGGCAAGCATTATCACAGAATATTAATATTAATTATGTAATTTTAACCATTATGTAATTATTTATACTTTTATCTGCGCCATGCATAACTTAATTTTCTGCTTTGGAATATAATCAAGTATCTACAGAATGGCATGAACACAATAAAAAATGGCCCATCCTAGCTTGTATACAATAATATATTATTATGATATGTTTTAATTTTATTATTTGTACATGTTGCTACCCCACCGAGCTTGATACTAATCAGAAAGATAACAGCGGTACGCCCTCCAGGGTCGAACACGATGGTGTCCTCACTGGACACCTTGGATCCAGTGACTACAGTACAGATGGAGAGCCTAGAACACCAGTCGACAAGTGAACACTACTCCCATGATTATGAAGTACATGAACCGGATTCGGACACAGAAAGATTGGTGCGTTTTCGTTAAATAAATCGTACTAATGTTATATAGGCTACGTGTTTATCTTCCTTTGAATTTGCAGATGAAGTTTTTTTTATATAGTTAGAATGACAAACAAACTAACCGCGTGATGCCGTAAATTTGTTGCAAATCTACAACAACTAAGATATCATGCCTCTTAATTTCTTTCAATTGAAACACAGCATACGTAGCAAGTTGATTGGAGACTGAAGTAAGTAAGACTAAGAGTTCCTTAGTTTTACTCACATGGCTTTTTATAAAGTATCTATTAAACTAGGATATGGTCCATCTGTAGTCACTATATTTACTTTTGACATTTACAATTAAGAATCTTATTTAAGTGTGATTAAGTACCATATTTCGGAACACTGGCTATTTTCAGATAATTACTGTTTATGTATACTAGTGACCTCGCAGTGGTCGAAATTCGACGATAATTAATTTAAATCATACCATTATTAAGGTTCTATTGACAAAAAATTTAGATAGACGATCTCTCTTAATCTATTCTCAATTTGACCACATACTTTAACAATAAACAAAAAAGTATATATTCGTATGTGTGTCAAATATCGGGATGTAATGTTTTATTTTATTCAGATATTGTATTTTTTTTTAAAAAATTAGCATTATGCATATTTTTCTAAAAAGGGTTAAAACATTTTAGCATCAAATATTAATATTGACATAGGTAACTATTACCGTTTTACTGCAAATGTCAGAATGTTTATCTGACTTTCCAATTTATTAAATAAAATTATGACCATATAGCGTGGAAGAATGAATACAATTATAACCAAATCTGCAAAACTTGTTATAATGGGAATTTTCCCATGTATTTACATATTATAACTACGACTACATTGAAACACTTAATGAATTTTAGGAATTAGACGGTCGTATCCCTCGAGCAAAGGAGAGGACCATTATGTTTGACAGCACCGACACACTTAGCGCCGTGAGCGGCGACAACTCCGTCAAGGAGGCGGCAGTCGAAACGGCCGCGCCCACATTTTATATCGGAGAAACACCAATTCTTAGAGGTATATTCAATCAACGAGTATTATTACTAACTATATCATTATTTATTAGACTAATGGAAACCTGCAACTTTGTCTTCATGTACATTTGTAGGTCGCTATGTAGATGTACATACATATATATACACACATATATAGATCAAAGATATTATTGCAGTGGCCAAAACCTTATTCAAAAATTTTAAAAATATGTCTATATTTTTAATTTAAAAAAATTATGTCTGCCTTCGTAAAACAAAACATGTCCAAATCAAGTTCATAAAAATCATTTTATTGCAAATTGTTAACAGGGGAACTAAGAAGAGACGAAGACGACGATGTTCAGCCGACTCTTTCGGAGAGCTGTCCAGCATCACTGCCGCCCACAACGCAGCCATCGCCACCAATTCCAGCACAAAGAAGGTAGAACACAAAATTACTTATCTTAGTGTACCTTTAGAAAATTCATGCAACCATCAGGCGAGTAATCATGATTAAATAACATGACTAATATCGAACTTTGTATTATAATTACCTGTTTGGTACCCGAGAGATTTTCTAGATAAAAGATATCTATAGAAAAGTCTATCTTTGTTTCAGTGATCCAATACATGTTTATATCAGATTTCATTAAAATCCGCTAACCTGTTTAAAAACTGTAAGAGATAGATAGCGATCTGCCTCTTTCTTGCCTTCTTCTATTTTTGAATTAGTTGCGGATGCTGCCTTTCCACTGATTACACTTGTAAACAAAGAATGCTATCTGAACTCGGAACAAAGAAAAGACAGTCGTCGGTAAAGTGTTATTACTTTCCCTGCATCATACAAATAAATTATTTATTATCATTGAAATAAATTGCCGTATTCGTAAATTCCCAATTTCCTATATAAAACATTATATAATGGTCCTAAATAAAGTAATAATCAATATCAACATATTGTGTAAATTGTATTATAAATACTTTATCTGTTAATGCTTTCCTTTACATTTGCATATTTAACATGTTTTTTATTATTAACTATGATTATTGTTATACTAATATTATCGCTATACGTATTTATGACATCGCTTGTTACCTTTTTGTATTTTATTTATTATTATACTTTAAAATATTTATTTCACTTTATTTCCTACTTATACTCCTTATTTGTTCATCACATTTCGCAATGTACCTACTAAATGAGACAATATTATTATTGCAGCTGCTATTGTTTAAGTCACTCTCAAGAAAAGCTCAGCAAATAGGTACACTACTTTGTATTGTACTGCTTTTTTATTCTTATTTGCTCTAACATTCACTATCTACTGTCATAGAAAAATAAAGATTATTTTGCTTTTTTTGTTGGATTATGTGTGTTTTTTATGTTTATTAAAAAACATCATGTTTAATTTAAATATGACTATACTAACAAGTAGCATGCCCATTTATCTAAAGGGTTTGAATTGTTTTTAATGATTTATGTGGAAATTTTATTTCTTCATCTGCTGACTCCTACATTATTTCTTGTTTATTATTTGTGTATATTTTGTAAATTTTCGTTTGCAAATGTTTTTAAATAAATTTCCGCAAAAATCTTATTTCGGGCTATCCATTAGTTAAATAATAGCCAAAACTATTTCAATCTTTGCAGATCTCTCACAATGCTTGCGAAGTCGCCGCCGTCAAGTCTAGAAGAAACTGCGAAGAAATAGATCTCCTAATTCTGCATTAAAATATTCTAATCTTCTTCATTTCTTTTCAAAATCTTTTTGTTATATGTAGAATAATCCTGACTCATCTAGCTATCTAGGCTTTGGCAAGTGCACTATTGGCTACTTGGCGAATACGAAAATTGACAAGTTTAAAAATTTACAAAATAATGTTACTGAACATCTAAATACTTCATCTATTAAACGTAGACGACTATTAATGTTTACTGTCGGGACATCTGTTGCGATAGTTATCATCGGATACATATAGTATCTTCTTACATCATCTATGTAGTAGACTCTCACATTTTTACCAGTGACAGAGTGTTCATTGACATGTATGACAAACTTCCAAACGCCAATGTTTGACATGTAGAAGTTATTCATTTGTTGGATATTTGCCATACATGCCAAGTTTTGGATAATATTTTGGTACTTACTTTTGTACTGGAGTGGAGTTTTTGTACGACGTTGGTCCATGTAACTTCGACCTATCCTTAGATAGTGCTTAGCTTTTAGTCTTGGAGTTATGCTTATTCAATATGAAGTAACACTGTAGGACTATTGACTATTTTATAAGAACTAGATAAGTAGACATGTTTCTGATCAATTTTGATATTGGATCTCTGAAGAATTGGTATTGAATTTATTAATTCTGCCCTCATAAATATATCCTCATAAATAACAGTATTGTTATTCAGACATTCAACTCTGGTTTTGATTCTTGCACAATTCTTACGTAAGTAGCTAGGTAGGGATACAAAATGTAGGGTAAGCTTCTACGGTCGGCTGTTTTATTGATCTCGTTTTTATTAAGGCTTAGTCATATTTGTTATAACTTTTGCTTTACTTATGATAATTTGTATATATGCTTAGCTTTATATAATAATTAAGACAGTTGGTAAGTGTATTTTTGTAGCAATATCTTTTTTATTATTTATATTAAATTTAAGTGTATTTAAGGAGCGATTAAGTACTAATATTTTGATCTTTAGATTGAACACACTTTCTTTTATTTCTGTTCTATTGAAGTATTCATATTATGTAAGTTATTTGTTAATAATCTTATTTCACTAATTTATTATTTATATATTTTTAAGACTAATAAGTACTAAATTGTGGCAGTTGACCGTAGGTAATATAAACCAAATTACATAATTTGGTCAGGGCTTGCTCACTTCCAAAGGATTATGTTCCAATGTTAATAACTCTATGGTTATTGTAAGATGATGGTTATTGACCTTGATTTTAGACATGGAGAGGGTATTAGGAAAATTCGGTATCTGAATTAATAAGGTCTGAGGTTGCATCGAAGTCGCTTAGCAATGATTGATGTTATTAATTCAATTTTTAAAATGTTGCTATACCAATGATTGTGTAGTAAAAGTAGTAAAAATACGTACATTTTCTAATATGACAGCAGTAATATAATCTATTTCAGCCGCCAAGCAGCTTGCATTATAAGCTGTGTTTGGGTCTCATGGTTGAGATATGGCAGTGAAACTACATGGTACACTACATTACACTTAATTCTCAATAATTGTAATGGATGATTAGTATCACAAACATCTCATAACGGTGGAGTTGGTCTATCCGTCCGTTCATGTACATAGGCGATGATTATCATCAGGCTACTTTTAATGTTTACATAGTATAAAATGAAATTGCTGCCGCTGTCTATTCGCTTGGATCTTATAAACTACTCTACAGATTTTAATGCAGCTTTTAACAATAGATAGAGTGATTCAAGAGGAAGGTTTATATGTATAATACCCGTACGAAGTGAATATAAAAAATCTTTATGAAGAGAATTGGATGCTTGACTTATCGAATGCTTTACAAAAATCTATAGCGTCTTCGACACAATCTTAGAATAATGGTTTGAGACTGAAGGTGGTTATTATATGAATGGATGGTATACTTAGCTAAATCACTAAAGGATGTTAAGGGCTGATTTGCTGTATCGTTTCTCGTATCAGCATGCCCCCCATCGCTAGGGGGATTGGCTTGTAATTAATTATAAATATAGGTGATATTACGTTCATTTGAGTCTGTGTGCTTGAGGGTTTCGTGTTAAATATGCTAATGTCGGTCGTCACGCCCTATATTAAGTTTCCAAAACTATTTATTTGCAATGTTCAAATTGTTTCACGTTGTATTTATGATGCTGGATATTCTATCAACTAAATTAATATTATTGAATATTATTAATAAAAACGCTATGTCTCATATTTAGAAAGGTTGTTTTATTTGTCTCTAAATTAAGATTTTTTTATATTAACATTGGCGGGACACCACCGAAGTAGGATAGGATGAAGTCAGTTGGCCTATCGTTACAAATTCATCAGAAATCCCCCATATTCTATTATTGTGTTATACTAAAATTTCACAGCAGATCACTACCTAGACTGTAAATCGTGGTCATGAGTGACCATCTGGACGACTCAAGAAACTTTGTGTCATTTAATAGACTCTCCATTGATGAAAACACCTATAACAAACTATTCAAAACAAATACAGTGGTAGACTCGCTTCCTGAAGAGCACCGATAACTTCTATTGCCTGGTTATGAAGGTATAAATAAAAGATATGTAAGGTGAAGGGGCAGTGGACCAGGTATATCAGCCGAGTCAGTAATAGATGGAGCAGAAAATTTATGGAGTGAAGCGCAAGTCGTACGTGGGCTTTACTCTATAAATTTTCTGTCGGGTTTCCTGCAAGATCGACCGAAGACATCAAGAAGATGGCCGAGAGTGGATGGATGCGGACGGTGGAAGATTGTTGCACATGGTGGGAGGCCATGGAAAAGGCCTAAATCCATATGTAGATAAATGTAGCTGAAACGATGAATGAATGATGATGAAATAAAAGGACTTAGGCTTTCATAATAATATTTATTAACAAAAACATAAAGTATTGAAATAAATTACTATTTACTATAACATTGTTTTAAATATCTAATGTACGTTTTAATAAAATCTCTTTTCAATCTAATATTGTCTAACTAGCGTATACAAACAAATTTGATCTGCTTAAGACTTCCACGTCCTAATAAATCACAATATTTTTGTTATATGCCGCTAAAAGTAAGAGAAAGAGTACGAGAACGTTTATTATCTCACAGGAATAGAGTTACAACGGATTTTCCTGTCAATTATTTTTTAGTGAAGCTGCACTAAAGGTAAACAAAATTATGATATAGAATACACATCTTGATATGTTTATTGAGGAAAATTAACGACATTAAACAAATTTTATGGTAGATAAGATATATTATTTTACTTCAGAAAATAGTAAAGTATCTAGAGTAGGTATTTTATATCGGCCTTCAAAAATGACCTCGTTTAAAACTCTTTTATTTTAAGTTAAGGTAAATTTGTACGAAATTTAGCATTATGTAAATTATGTTAACTCTATTTGTAGATCTATAATTAATATTGTATGTATATAGTTCTTTGGACCAAATGTAAGATCAAGTAACATTCAATATATATTGTAATAATTTACCGATGCAAGTCTTTCGGGAATACAATTCTATTAAATTACTCATACCATTAATTTAATATTTAAATAATTTCGAGATATTGATTTATTTTGTATATGATTAACACTTTATTTGCACACGAGTCTTTTAGTATACTAAAAAAAGCTGTAACTCCAAACCGTAGAACTTGGCACAACGCACAATGTCGTAAAATCATAAAAAATAAAAAAAAATAATGAAAACTCTTCAAATAAGAAATCATTTTTTTTATAAATATAGCAATAACTAACAAAAATATACATTTATTATATGATTTCTCATTCAAATTATTTTCATTTTGCATCTTACAAACTAGCTATGCTTACATTTACTATGGCATTTTAATTTTTTAATTTCGTTTCTCGTGCATAAATTTACAATCAATTTCAAAGCATATAATTGAATAAATAATAAAGAGTCTTCGCTTTGGTGGTAAAAGTAACACCGCATGTGGTATATAAAAAAAAATAAAGAATTTGATTAGCAAAAATAATACTTATTACTCTAACATATGACTGAAAGTTGGCTGTCTTCACAGGGAGTCAAACTCTGATACATCGCTCGTCTGAAATGCAAATTAATAATCAATTAGAAATAAATATATTCGTTAGTTGTTTTATCGCGACGTTGCCTGAAAACGAATACATTATTCTATGTGCTAGTATAGTGATTTATCTATGATATATGTTATTTATGATCATTACTCTTTGTAATGATGATAAAAAATGTATAATAGTACGAAACTTATTAACATTCCAGTTTTTATGTATTATCAATGTGTGCATACATCATTGTTGTTACTTGTATATTAAACCTTATTTGTACAGTGCATTGTGTAAGATATGTATACAACACAAATTATACAGTGGAATAGTGCAAAATTGTTAAGAGAGAGAGATACCATATTTGTATATCGAATATCAAAGCTTTACAATTTAATGATATATATATAATACATAACCTATTCGGAAATCACTTTTAGTTCTTTATACTCGTATATATATAAAATATGCGAGTCTATCTGTGACTATAGTTATATATTCCTATAATATAAAATATATATCTCTATATAAAATATAAATCTCGTCTGTACATTACCACTTGTAGAAGTAATTGTACAAACTTGTAGAGTTAAGTCATGGAATTGCTTTAAGTAGTAGATGTTACTATTTGTATGTTTGTCTGTGTCAAAGATGAAAGTATTTGTGTGTATGCCTGTGTGAAGAGATACCCACAAGATCCGGTTTATAGAGGTGCACGTGCGGCAAGAGGAAGGTAGAGCCGAGGTCGCGTTCTGCCATTGTGTTTGCCTCCTGGGTGCAATAGTTAGTTATTTACAACGTATTATTTCTAATATTTATAACAATAATTAGTAAAAATCACGATGTAATAAAAATAAAACGTAGATAAACATGCCAAGTGATACATTACCACCAATATTGCATCAAAATATGGTGTAATTATATACTACAGATTCAGTAGACTAAGTAAATTAGTATAGCTTATAAAAAATAAGAAAATATTTTATTATTTTCTATATGCTATATTAGTTTTTAAACTAACATCCGCCTGTAATTTCACGGTCATATCCCACCTTTCAACCTAAATATAGCCTGCAAAGCAAGCTATTTGGTGGCTGAAATAAATGAGACTGAGGTACCCACGCATACAAAATAGTTCATGCAACGCCTGCGTGCTGTTAGAAAGAGGTAAAGTTTGTGAGGTTGAAGGGATTTCTGGATCTACTGAATCGATTTGAAAAATTCCATTACAATTAGACAGCCAAGTATTTTCAAGTTACATAGTGTTGAGAAACTCTTTTAATATTAATATATTAAAACATTATTTTAAATATATTAAATATAAAACAAAATTCTATAAATGTCACCTTACTGTCTCTACTGTTACCATTAAAATATACATCTTATTATAAATTATTTTATAACAAATTTGACATTTTTATCTATGACCAAAGGTGGGGACAATGTGAACCAGACAAAGTTGTGTGGGTCAGATAATTTGATATAAAGTATATTACCTGATGAGTGAGTCGTGTGGAAGAGGCAGCTCTACCGGTGCTTGCCGGCAGGGTGCCTCCGATGGACCGCGCCTCCGACAATGTCCTGTCAATAGCATAATATATTATTACTCTATATACTAATTACTGTATATATACTTAATAATAATATAATAAATCTTAAAGCATCGATTATACAGCATGATTTCGCCTCCAATCATCCAGTACTGATCATGTATGAGCACCAGTGGATTTGTAGGATGAGCGTCATCAGGTCAATATCTCGAAAGTTGAAATCGCTATCGTTCTAAAATTATTTAAGAGCTGCATGTGGATATTCTAAATTAATTAACCTGCAAACGTGTTAATTTGGGAAAAGCTAATAGATCTGGCCAAATGGTGGCAAATCTAATCTGTCCAAACTTTACCAGTTTGAGCTTCGACGCCGTTTGATTGACACATTGGTTAACCTGAAAGACTTTATGGCGTGCGCGTGTACCCAATAAAATAATATAAAAAATATTTTAAGAATTGACTTACAGTTCTCCGATGCGTCTTTCAGCGTCTGTCCATTCAGACATGATGTCTTCTTGACTGAAATAATGTTATAGAAACATTTATTATATCTGTATAAATATATTATATTTATATACATTAATAATAATAAATATACATAGATATTGTTTAGTTATTTATATAATATATAGTATTATTGTCACAGTTAGCTGGTTGAAAATGCCACATGGCATTAAACTCGCCTTTTATTCACTTTATATTAGTAATAAAGAATAAAAAAATAGCTGTAAGTTATATGCTAATATGGTGGTAGACATATTTTACCTATAAGACTTCCTAAGGGTACCGAACCTTGACAACTCCGTCTCTAGATCCGCTTTGTGGATTGATGATATATCATCCCTCTCCTCCTTCATCATGCTCTCGTCTGGTCTAATGGTTGTTGATACCTTAAAACCAGCCGATACTAATGCACCTGTGGAATAAAAATGGTAAATTTTAATAATTTTATTGTAGCGCAGTGGTATCACCTCACTACTGTAGCGTTATTAAATATATCTCAGAACAATTCACACAGCGCCATCTAGACCCACGTTAAGCTAGGTAAAGCTTGTGTTATGGGTACTAGATAACTGATACATATACATAGATATTTTTTTTGTAAATACATACATATTATACATAGAAACACCCAGACCGATACAAACAATCATACTCATGAATACAAATGTTTGTGTCGTGCGAGGAATCGAACCCGCGACCGTCGGTGGTAAGGCGGTGTGCTAGACCGCTAGACCACCGAGGTCGTCAAATTATATATGATGTAATGAGGTGTCACTACATAATGTATTATTTATTGTAGAGTCCAGGTAGTGAGTATATAGGTGAAATAATTGTACTATTTATTATATATTAGTAAGTTTATTAGATAGTGTGCTACATGGCTTATTAGTAACGCGTCCATTCGACGTGGATACCGTAAACTGTTTTACACTGAACGTAAATGTATGCTAGTGGAGACGTAAACTAATGGAAGGGTCTCAAGTGTTAACAGAAATACATACAAGTATATATATATAACACAATTTTAAAAACGAAGAATACTATACTTATCGCAATATATCTCGAGATAGGAGTGCAGTAGTTAATGCATAGGCTTATTTAGTAGCCATAACACTGGGAGAGTTTGATGTGAAAATTTTGGGTTTTGCTCGATTTATGTATTTTTAACAAATAAGTAATGCTATTTTACTCATTAAGTAATGTATTTTCATTATAGATTTAATTTTTTTTTTATATCTGTAATATAATAATATGTGTATAATAGTAATCTACTGTTAAGGACTCTGGATAGATGTATACCTAACAAAACTTGAGGAAATCATAGGTAATGGTTAATATATCAAATATTTTTTTAATGTTTCACAACCTCTGTAATCTTAACACATCGCTTTACTACCGATGGTCGCGGGTTCGACGACGCAAACATCATCATTCATGAGTATAATTGTTTATATTAGTCTGGGTGTTTTCTATGTATTTACAAAAAAATGCATGTAAGCATTTCTATCAGTTGTCTAGTACGCATAACGTAGGCTCTACTTAGCTTGGGACTTATTATTTATTACCTTTTTAATTTATTTATTCATTTATTTCAGGCAACTAGGCCCATATTATAAATACCTTATAGACTAACATACATATAATATAATATTTAAAAACCAATACAACGATATTGTCTGTGTGATCACGGCACTGAAGACGGCAATCTGCCACGGTAGCGCCGATACACCACACCTTTCGGCCAGTAGTCCTCTTTCATGAAGGTGGGCAGCAATTAATTAATTAATGTTGCACTCACCTTGTTTGTTGTGTCTGTCCTTATTGCCACTGTATGAACTCTCCACGCTGTGTTTTCTTCTCATCTGTGATACATTATTCAATTATAATTATATAATTCAAATTACTTAGTTACATTACTATTGTGATAATTTACTTACGTGTACCATAAAATTTATTTAATTTAATTTTCATTATTACTCATATCATTATTCTTACGTACTTATCACTATTTGCAATTATGGGACACATCATTAATTGTTTTTGTTAGCCTAAGTAAAATTATCTTATGTAAGTCCCAAGGTCGTATTGAAATATTTGCTTTCAGCATTAAGGCCGCCTTGTTGTATTTATACAAATATATTTAATTTACTATTTAAATATCTTCTATTATTTCATATGCTATCTATCTATGATTGTTTTAAAAATAGCTAAATATGAAAATCTCTATTCATTATTTTTATATTATATAAAAGTTATAGATTTGTAATAAATGTGTTCATTTATTTTAGGCTACTAATAGCTCATATATACTAACATACATATAAATTAATATATACAATATATAATTGTCTGTGTGGTCACGGCGCTGATGACGGCAATCTGCTAGGGTAGCGCCGATACACAAATATTTCAATCAATGTAACAAAACTACATGAAGTGGCAAATATTGTTTGCACGCAATAAAATATTTTTTTTTTATATATTATATTATATTAGATAAAATTTAAATATATAATGATAATAAAATTATTCATTGACTTTATAGTAAGATATTAAAAAAATCGTAGACTTTCAATTGTGCAATTACGTTTACATTTCAAAATTCTCAAGTTCTTTACATTTCTGACGTGATATTTCTTACCTCATCATTAGAAGGGTTAACTGCTCCTGATTCCAAATAACTGATGAGTTTAGCTTCGTTACTCAGTTCTAAACTCTTCTTCCTAGATATGTTCTCGCGACTGAAAAGAAATGTTTTATTTTATATCTATTAATTAAATATCTATGTTATATTTTTGTTCAATGTTTATTTCTTATATACAAATGGTATATGTAACATCTGTAAATATTTGTTAGTTCAGCTATTATAGTTCCAAACGGTTCTATCCCTCTTCTTTTTTCTGTATCTATTATTACTAACAGAAGAATAAAATAAAGATAATAGTGGCACTGTTACAGCCACTAAAACTTTGACATATGTATTTACTTCTACTATAATATTGTGGGATGGCGGGTTTTAGTATTGGGGAATATTAATAATTTTTGTCACGACCTATTCAATTTTCGTCTCCTGGAAATCATCGTAACGAGTGTACTACAACAAAATAATGTGACTTCATCTTATCATCCTCCACTGGTGCCCCACCACCATATACAAGGTTTTCCTGCGCATATACCTGCACTAGACAATTTCCCGTTTTCATGTACATTTGCTTATTTTATAAAAGAAAAAATGTATTTCATATTTCAGCTTCCAGGACTATTTCAGCCGCCAAATAGATTGATTGTGGCTTTGTAAGCTGAGTTTCAGTTGTAGGATAGTATTATGTAGTGAATTTACATTTTAGACTTCAGGATCAGCAAAGCATGAATGGTATCATGGAAGTAATATGAATGGTAACACAGCATGTTATTCCGTGATACCATTCACGGAAGTAACGTTAATGGTAACAATGCATGAATGATATCACGGAAGTAACATTAATGGTAACAATGCATTAATGGTATCACGGAAGTAACATTAATGGTAACAATGCGTGAATGGTATCACGGAAGTAACATTAATGGTAACAATGCATGAATGGTATCACGAAAATAATATTAATGGTAACAATGCGTGAATGGTATCACGGAAGTAACATTAATGGTAACAATGCATGAATGGTATCACGAAAATAATATTAATGGTAACAATGCGTGAATGGTATCACGGAAGTAACATTAATGGTAACAATGCATGAATGGTATCACGTGTTGTGCATGTATATAGGCGACGGTTACAACTTCCTATCAGGTGGAATGTCAGCTGCTTTACCATTTAAGTACATTAAAAAAAAACAAATGTTCATACCTGTCGTGGTGTGCATGTAGCCGAGCCCTGGGAATCATAACAGCTGGTGCGGGGGGCGGCGGGGGGTCATGAGCTGGTGGTTCAGACATTATGCATTTCTTACTGGATGAGGGACGCTGGAAAATAATACAAATATATCTAATAATTATAATAACATAATCGAACTCGCGACCATCGGAAGTAAAGCGGTGTGGTAAACCGCTAGATCACCATCATATTTAACTATTACCATCAATTTAATCTACATTCCTTTACATTAATAATCCATCCAATTCAATCCATTTTCTTAATACAATCTATCCTCTTCAAATTTCATATAAATATGTGGAGCAGTTTATCCTGAAAATATTACTAACAGACAGAGAAACTTTCGTATTTATATTATTATTACTGATTCAATGATAAAATTATTTTTGCTACGTAAATTGTGATGACTTTTAGGTACCTAAGCTTTGTTGAAATCCAGAATATGAACATATTATATAAAACTGGACGTAATATATCTCAGTAAAAAAAAATACCTTGACTGGCATATAAGGTAGAGAAACATTTTGTATACTAGAAGAATCCCCCGTTTCTCCTCGTTCACTGATTAGAGCGCGACGGTCCGCACGTTGCTTTGAAGGCATTGCCCCCTGAAAAATATTAAATATATTATTTTTTTAATAATTGTATAATATTGTAATATAGATAAATCTCCCGGATTTACCTGTGTGATTGATTACACTATCATTTGCAACATCTAATAAACCTATTATAAATTATTCTATTAAAATTAGATAATATTATATCAGGGGAAGGGGATTATTGGTCAGGTTAAACTCCACGGGGTCCCCCTGGAAAGCATCGTGATAATTTGTCATTTGCCAATTTAATTGACTTGACCTCATGTCTATTTTATAATCCTCCATCGCTGCCCGCCGGCATAAAACGTTAGCGCAGGCGGGTGCATCAATCCATTATCAATGATATATGTATATGGTACTAGATAACTGATAAAATATATAGTTTTTTCCGTAAATACATCCATATTATACACAGAAAACACCCAGACCGATACAAATAATCGCACTCATAAATACAAATGTTTGTGCCGTGCGAGAAATCGAACCCGCTACCATCGCAAGTAAGGTGGTATAATAAACCTCTATACCACCTGTTAATACTCATAGTATTAACATCGCACATGCTGCCATGACGCGCTGGTCATCCTACTGCGGCTGTGCGCCGTCCGTATATTTTGAATCTGTGGCGCATTGCGTTTGCGCGGGACAACTAACTACAGAATGACTTTATCTGCAGACATTCTTCTAAACTATTGTACTTCTGATAACTAATTTTTTTATACCGTTCTTCATTACTTTTTTTTATCTGTCTCTAAATTACTTTTATTACAATAAAATACTTATACACAACAAAACTGGCATATAAATAAAGCCGTTCACATGAGATTACCTGGTGTAAACTGGGCATATTCTGTATACAAGCAACAATGGAGCGCTGCTCGGGTCGTGGTCGCTTGGAGCAGGCCACCACCGCGCAGACCGCCAGCACCACCGACAGCACCGCTCCAGCCACCACCAGGGAGATCAGCACCACTGCAATTCGAAGATTATACTATATAGGACCAGCTATGCTACGCTGTGTCTGACTGGAAGAGATCTTAGAGTCAATCCTACCTTAGTTCACATTGTTTTTAATATATTTAGGAGACGACCCTCTAAACCAAAGTTTCCAAAATTTTTAGAGCCTTGTCCCACCTTAGTCTTTCTAAAATTCTTATGACCCCCTCCCTTCCCTATGTAACGTACATAATTAATAAATAAATAAAATAAAAAGCCTTTATTGCTATACTAATATTTTTACATTTGGTTAATATTATTATCGATAAACGGTACAGCTTGTCTTCCGACATAGGCCTCCTCTAAAGATTTCCATTCTGTCCTGTCCTTTGCTTTACGAGTCAACGTACATAATTAATAATCTTTAAAAAATCAATTGTTCATTTAAGAAACTTAAATAATAGGTTTTAAGAAGAAATCTTTAGGAAACTGTTAATGAAACAATAAGTAAATTTTGAAAAATAGATAATAAAAAAAAATCCATATCATTTTAATAGAATTCGAATTGCCCTCCTTAATAATCAAATTTCCCCCTGTGGGTCGTGGGCCCCACATTGGGAAACACTGCTCTAAACGGAAGTTACAATATATTAACTTAGGTAATACTTCGGAATGGCAACGCAAGAAGATTTCAGGGGTGCCACGTAACGATATCTGAAATATCTTCATGTATATAGGCAACGTTCGCCTTACCAACCAAGTGAGTAGTCAGTTTTATACCATACAGGTTATTTAAAAAAATGTCCTAGCAAAATATATCTTAAATACATACCTTTAAGGTTTATTTGACAAGAACTTCCAGCATACCACTGGAAGCATTCACATATGACCCGTCTGTCATCACGCGAGTAGCAGGCACCGTGATAATTGCAACGCTCGCAGCCAACTGGTTCCGCTGAAATATTAATAATTTAGCAATTAAAGCAAAATGCCAAAGGACAACCTGACCACAACAAAATGTTGACGTCAACACATAAATATATTACAGATATGGTAAAAAAATAAAAAAATGTTCAGTATTCTAGTACCTTTTATAATTTGTTATTGTTCATAAAAAAAATCGCATTACTCTAACGCTGTTGGCCGTAGCTGGCCTTTACAACTTCACCAGATGGGGCGGGATAGTGCAGATGGCACACCAAGCCCGTAAAAGGACTTATGGAGCGGTCAACTCCCGGAGGTCAACTCCCGCCTGACGGATACGCCTTTAGTCTAAGGCCACCGCTAGGTTCGAACCTCAGCTCAGCCCCTCGTAATTTCGATCCGCATTTGAATTGGACGGGGGCGGGGAATCGATCGAAGGGGGTTATATTAGAAGCATGGTATCGTAGGATGAATGGTAGTATACCACAGGCGTTGCACGTATACGTAATGTCCGTCATTCATGTATATACCACTTACCATCAGGTGGAGCTTCAGCTTGTTCCTAATCGTTTATTAAATTTCATTAGTAACTCACCAGAACAAATCCTTCCAGGATATAATGTGTTCACGCTAAGATCTGCATAACCTTCCAGACAGCTGCAAGTGTATGTACCACGGAGATTGAAGCACTGAGCATGCTCGGAACAGTCGTGGAATTGACCACTAACACATTCATCAAAATCTGTAAACACAATATAAAGTCCTTAATATATCGGTTATATATTAAAAATTTCAAAAATTCAGTTGTTTCTTGCCAGTTCTTCTTAATGGAATCTGTATAAAGAATTAAACGATAGGGAAAAAATATTAATACAAAAAATTTTACGTACATAAATGGCTAATGTCCATGATTTTTTATTTGATTTGATCTGATTTATTATAAAAGATAAAAAGTATATTCTATCTATCTATCTGCGCGCTAGTAAATGGAGACGTACCACTGACATCCAGCCTGTCTACCAATTCCCCGGCGGCGTGGACATCAGTACCACCCAAGCTGTAGTTGTTATTCCTTAGGTACTTCTCGATGACCTCTTTCAGGCGACTTTCGTGAGCGTTGTCTGAGAGCTGTAATTGTGATATTAAATCATGTTATTATGATAATAAATCATATTATTGTGATATAAAATCAGGTTTAATATCACAATAACATGGTTTATTTATCGTCAATTTAAAAGTGATATATTTTGCTAAAATATAATTATGACATATAATTTGAAATAATAAAGGCTCTGATTTATTATATGAGATATTTCTAATTTGACAATTACAATATTTGGAATCAGTTAGACAAAATCACAAATTAAATATTTGTACCTTTGTATTAGTCTTCGGAAGGAAACACTAACTAATACTGAAAGAAATAATCGGAGAATGGCGCTAGATTGGCCCCTTCCCATGTTGATAAGCAATACTTGACATACCCACATTTTGCTCAGTATATTTGACTCCGTTGCAGGGAGTCAAATATACTAAGCAAAATGTAGGGGTCTTGTATACTAATTTTTGTTTTTTATATCAGTGTTATCTTCACCAGGCTCAATCAGTCTGATATTAAATTGTGTATATAGTTTTATTTAGTCCCAAAAGATTTGAACCAAGTCCATTGATAGGCAAAGACTCTCTCACTTTATTTATTGTTATTAATTAAAATAAAAGTGTATGAAATCACAAACATCACCTGTACATAGAAGTCGTTCATAACTCCTTGATATATATCTCCGGTTTCTGCCTTCATCTGCACAGGAGAGAAGCCTGTGATATGAACACCATGGAATACATCCCTGAGATCCGATTGCATCACCATCCTGTTGATTCCTTCGTGAGTTGCAACAGCTAACGCGTGGTATTGTTTACTGGAGTTATCGGATAGACTTTGATGGAATGTAAGTCTTTTGTTGCCTTGCGATCCTAGAGCCAACTTCACTGAATATGTATATGTAGCTAAAATAAGACATTAAGTAAATTATATATTACTTATTAAATTTATGTACCGAGGTAGATTTTGTACAGAGTCATCTCTTCCATTGTTGGACTCGGTAGGCCAGCAGTTTAGCACACCGTCGTAATTCCGATAGGTACGTTACTTTTATATATATATATATATTATGTATGTAACTCAAGCTCTACTTAACTAGGGACTAGATGGTGCTATATGAATTGTACAGGGTTGTTATTATTATGCCGGCAAGCAGATATCTTTGCAAGGGTACTAATTACAAAAGTAAAAATATGGCAACATTATCCATAGCCCTTAAGAATATCTCATAAAGGTCCTCACAACGTCACATGAAGATAATAAGTAATCCTATATTATAGCTAATAAATAAACCCAACTTACGTTTACATGGTCTATCAGGGAACATCCTGGCAAATCCAGGTCTGCATACACATTTCATGATTCCATCAATTCGCTGACAACGTTCATTTCTTGACGCTTTGCAGTCTGGCTGACATTCCTTGCCGAAGGCTAATCCTGCATAATATAATACAAATATTTATTTTTAACCTAAACTAGATGTTACACCTGTGCCGTAGGTTGTTTTAATGTTGTAACTTATGTATTTGTTTTAATTAAGAATTAGAATCTGACGTAAGACTTACCAGGTGGATTCACATTTGATGTTTCTAAGTATGGTGTTCCTGCCAGAAGTATTTCACCAAACAGCACCTGAGACACACCGTTGCTATTTACTTGCTCATTTCTAGTAATTCCATCATAATCTCCAGTATCTACATCATTACTAATTGGGGGAGAGTGACCGCCATTTTGAGATTTATTCATGACGACGAAGAAGGTATCATTATCTCCCTCGGATTCAGCATCTATTTTTTGTACATTTTCTGTCGTACCAAGGTCTTTAATTATGAGATTGTCATTTTCTTCTGAAGACATAGTTATATCATCCAAAGGCAATTTAGTATTTGTATTGGTTTCTAGAACAGAAGTAGGTTCAACCAACACAGGTATATGTTTAGTTACAGTTTCAATGATAGTAGTCGGCTGCACTTGAGTATGAACTTCAGTAACAACATCAACTATTGTAGATGTCTGAGTATTAGTTAAAACCAGTGTCTGTGTTACTGCTCCCTCTGAGAGGCTTACAAGACTAGTCTTTGTGTGAGTAACCGTCAAAGTATGGGTTAGGTTTACGTAACCTATACTTGACACTGTTCTAGGTGGTTCGGATAAGGTTTTCGTAAGAGTGATAACTGTTGTTTTAAATTCTGTTTTAGTTGGTATGATTTCATCCGAAATTTTTATCTCATTTCCGGCATGATGTGTTGGTTTTACACTTGATAATATTTGGCCTAAAGTATCTTTCGTACCTGGTAATTCACTTGCTTTGTTTGATAAATCAGTTTCTTGGACTAATGACGTCGTTGGTAAAGTACTATCCTTAAGAACTTCTGTTGGTGTTATAAAATCATCATCAATTGTAGATTCAGAACTCTCTATAATACTAATAGATGATGTAGGCAATCTTGAAGGTATTACTGGTCTTGTAACTTTTTTCACAGAGGACTGTCTTGTTGGATATAAAATTTCTGGACGTGAAAATGTTCTTGTAGGCTTAATTATGTTTATTGTTGGTTTAGAAGATATCCTGTAGATACTTGTAGTAGTAGATTTTTTATCACTATGCCGTACTGGGTATGGCTTACGAGTTCTGTTTCTGTTTCCTAATGGCATGATTATTACTTTATTAGTAGATGAGTCTTCTTGGCTCGATTCATTACCAATAGAATCGATACTTTGTTCAGAGCTCGTTGATATTTGAGTAGTAAATTCTGTATTATGATCATTAGAAGTGGATAGGCTATGCTCTGTAGCCGGCTTTTCTGAACTTTTATCAATATGTTCAAATGACGTTAATTCACTTTCAAATGAATGTTCATCTTTCGTGAAAGATACGTCTGACACATCTGCTACCTTCATTGTTTCTTTGATAGCAGGGAATTGAATAGAAGTGGGTGCAAAATTAAAGCTTGAAGAAAAGTCTACACCAGATGATGTTAACCAACCTGAAGAAATAGGCGTCGGAAATACTACATTTGATGTGTTAGGAGGATCTATAATTTCACTTATGGTATTGCTGGTCTTTGCAGGAGTTTCTCTTGGTGGTGGTAATAATTGGGATGATGGTTGATCGTGGCTGAATATTGGTCGACGGACATTGTTGAGAATATCAAACGCTGGTCTATATGTAGAAATTTCATCTCTATGTATTGGTTTTCTTGTTGGTTTTTGTGTTGGTATTCTGGGAGGCAAAGTTCTCTGAGGCTTATTTCTATACGGTGGTGGTGTACGATTAGGAATAATAGGCCTCGAAGTTGAAGGCATTCTAGTAGGTGGTCTAATCACAGATGGTATTCTTGGCGGTGGGGGGCTCATACCCATAATCAATTCATCATTTGTAGAAGGTCTAAAATTGTAATCCATAGTTGGGGGCGGTGGTGACAAATCGATTATTTCATTCGATGTCTTATTTACTTTCAAACTTTCCGGCACTGTAAATGACGGTAAGGTTGTTTTTTCATGAATTTTCTCAACAATTAATGGCTTTTTGTCTTTAATTTGAACTGTAGATGTAATAATGTTGGATTCATTTGCTATACGCGTTGTATTTGGACGTGTAAAGCTGGTTCTTATTGGTTTTTTATATTTATTGTCAGGATGTGTGTGATGATATAGTGGTTTGTGTGTTGAAGATGGTCGGTTAAATACATTAGTAATTTCTTCGCCCATATTTAAATCAAAATTGTCTTCATATGATATATTAGTAGCATTCTCCATTAATTGATTGATTTGCCAGTGTGGTTGTTGTAATTGATGATCTAATGTCGACATTGTGTTTATTGTAAATGGTTTAGGTTTCATATAAGAACTGTCATCATAAACAGTTATAGGCTTTATAGTATTTGATTGGAAAGTGTTTATATTACTATTGTTCTTGAACGGCTTTTCTGTTTGTGTACCTGGATTAAAATCTACAAATTGTACATGTTTCTCTTTAGTGTCTTTTGGTTGTTCAAAAACTTCATGTTGTAATAATGTGATGTCAGTTGTAGATGTAGATACATTATTTATTTCACTTGATGAGCTTACAATAGGCACTTTCATTGATTCTAAACTAATTTCACCTTCAAAATCACCAATATTATCAGATTCCTCTTCACCGTCATAGATTTCATCAGAATTCTCATATACTGGATTTGATTTTGTAGTAGTAGTTTTGATTTTAATTGTTGTCGTTTCGTCACTATTATCTCTTATAGGTATATCGTATGCAGGTTGTTTAATATTATCTAAATTTGACGGTATAAAGTTTGGATATTTATAAGGATTAGAAGTAGTAGGTATAGGTGTTCCATAAAATGGTCCCTCAGTTTCAGTTTTGGTAAATGGTTTACCTATATTGAAATTTGAAAGTGAAGCTGATGTATCTTGAGACCAATAACCAGGCGGTTTTCCTACACTTGATATTTTTTGACCAAATTCTGGCCTACTATCAGTATTAACATTATTTGATAGAGGAATTATTTTTCTTGTTGTTACTTCGCTATTGATGTTATTTTTATTTATAACGTTATTATTGTGAACAGCACTAGAATACCATCCATGAGAATTGGTTGGTACATTCGGAATAAGTTTTGCTGGACGTCGTTGATCCGAGATTAGAGTATTAACTGAATATTCAGTTACTATCTTCTCGCCATTGTATATATTCGCTACAGTTGTATATTCGTTTATCATCGGGAAATTAGCATGGCTATTAAGAGACGGCTCAAAAGATGGCACTATGTTTTGAGACGGTTTTGCAACATTATTGTTTAGTTTGTAAATTCCTAAATTATTACTTTGTTGTTTTAGTCCATTTTTGCCAACTGTACTGATATTCCATCTATTATCTCCACTTGAAAGTTCTATGGGTATATGGGGACGCTTGTCATAAACAATTTCAGGTTTTTTATTTTCTTGCAAACTATAACCTTCGGAAGGTACATCTTCCACTGTAATTGCAAAATTAGTTCCGATTGGTATATTAGTATCTGCAATATCAGTATTAGATAAAGAACCAATGGCAACTGGGACACTTGACCCAATGACTTGTCCTTCGTTTACATTATTTGCTATATTAGTTGCGGTATTAAGAGTAACAGTATAAGATGCATCCGTTTTATATAAATTATTTGTTATTATCGATTTATTTTCACTATTTGGATTTGGAATAACTGAATAAGAATTATGAACTTCTCCTGTGTTGGTGTCTGTATGTTTTTCTCCTTGAACATTGTTTATAGGTATATTATTTTTATAAGGATTCTCATGCGCTGGCCGTGGAGGTGGTATATGTATTGTATATGTCGGGGTTGGTTTGCTGTTTGGTGCTTGAGCTGCGAAGTATATCTCAGATGTTACTTTGGGTGGCTGTTGTTCTGGTGTTATTTTCGGTATTGGGTGCTGTATATTGAAAAATACTTTCATATCTTGTACTGGCTTGGTATGTACTATAGGTCGCTGGTTATAAGGTTTATTATTATTATATATATTTTCCTGGTTTGAATGTAATTTTGGAGGTGGAGGTGGTACTGCCAAATAATTTTCATATTCTTTATCTATGATTTCTTTGCCATCTTTAATTTTATCGTTTCCTTTATGATGGTTATATTTTTCAAATTCTCCATTTATTGGATTGTAAATATCAGGATCGTACGACGTTATTTGTGGTCCAAATTGAACATGAGCTTCTTGATTGCTAGTTGGAGGTGGAATTTTGTTTACATTAATAGGACGATTCTCGTCCCGCCATTTTGACTTTAAATCATTTCTGAATGGTTGTTCTTTATGGAACGGTGGAATACTAGGCTTATAAGATTCCAAAGGATATCGTATATTTGTATTCGTAATGAATTGTTTATTATTATTCGGTGCAACATTATGTACATTAGTCATTTGCGGTGCATCTATGCTAAAACTTCCAAAATAACCAGGTTCTGGATAAGGTAAAGGATCATCAACATAATCTCCTGTTTTATGTGGTTCTGAAGAGCCGGCAAATACTAGCGCGGTTGAGCTTCCATGAGGTATTAAAACATTGGCTACCCTTGAAGGTTGAATATCCACTAAAAATGGCTTACCGGAGTCGGAACTAGGAGATACAGCATATTCGCCATCTGTTTTTACTCTTGTATTAATTATTTCAGATGAACTTGGACTATTATCAAATATATCCTTATCTTTATTCTCTTTTTGGGATATAAAATCAGTATGTTGGTTTAGTGACCCCTTATTAGGATTTCCTAGTGAAGGAATGTAATCAAGGAATGCGGGCCTGCCATGATTTCCTAATATAGTATTTGTAGTTTTTATGTGTTCTGTTTTCATTATATTATCTGGTAGATGTACATTTTGGGGTATGTGAATTGGTATTTTAGTCTGAACTTGAGAACTATGATGACTAATAGGTGACTGAGGTTGACGAAAAATATTTCTGTTTGGTTTAGATTTAATTTTTGGTAGATCTGGTGGCCTCAAATCAAAAGAATCGTCTACTTTAGTAGTTAATGAAGCTTGTTCACTATTTGGCCTCTCTTTAATTAAGTACTCTTCATTACCTGCTACAAAACTGTCAATAGGTGGTGGATGAACAGGATTGTGTAATTTAATTCCACTGGCAGCCAAGGTTAACGGCCCGCCTACTGCTGGCTTTCCTACTATTACATCTGAATGAGCTGTAATTATTTCACCAGGGCTAATGGGTATGCCGCCATTGACAAGAGGGCTTTCATGAATAATTTTAGGTGGGACGATGTGCGATTTAGGTTGCTTGTGTTCTGTAGCCCACGCCAAATTCTGATGTAATGTTGCATTTGAGAAAATTACTTGTGATTCTGAAGTTTCCAATTCATCCACTGGGATGTATATAGGAAAATCGTTCTGTTTAAATTCAACATCGCTGTCTACTCGTTTGTTAACGTTATAAGCGGTTAATTTTTCTACTGGTTTAACTGTTGTAGTCGTGGTTTTATTTATCTCTTGACGTTTTATAAAACCACCTGTCATTTTTTCTATAACTGGCGCTAACTGTGATAGACCTTTGATACCTAAGGATCCTAATTTTAATAAATCTGCAACAACAAATTTATTTTTGTTCGGTTTTTGAGGCTTGTCCGGTTTAATTTTGTCATGATTTTTATTTACGACTTTATTTTTAGGCGGTGCAGGAGCTTGCTCATTTGTCAATAACTCACTTTCCTCTATAGAACTTGTATCTTTTTCTTCTGAATAATCATTAATGACTTCAGTATATTTTTCAACGATTCTGTCTGTCGGTGCCAAATGTGAACTGCTTTCGAATTCATAAGGACCATATTGAGTTTTTACATTAAGAGATTCCTTATTTGTTGGTCTGAAATCTATTTTTGTAGCCCCATATTTAGATGTTTTTATTCCAAATTTAGAACTACTTGGTAAAATTCCATCGATATGGGTATATTTAGTTTTTAATCCTTCTGTCTTAGTATTCGAACAAGAACAAGTTGTGCATGAAATATGACCAATTTCTGACGGTTGTATTATATCAAAATTATTTTCAGTTTCGGTATCTATTCTTTTATCAATTTTAGGAAAATTACTTGGATATATGTTACTTGGAGCTGTTGGTTGAATTGTCTTCACTTCCATGTATTTAGTCTGCAAATAGATAAAATTAATTTTATTATTAACGTAATATAATTTAACCGAAACATAATTTTATATGTAAAATTAGTTTTGTTTTTATGGAGTTAAATTATGTAAATATTTCAGGAAGGTAGAATCGGAAAAATATGGATGGCTTTTATACATCGTAATATTTTACCATTACAATTACTAAAGGTATGGTCGAAGCAGGGGCTTATTTGTAACCGGAGATACCTCGAATGGGGCCTGTTCTTTAAAGGGTAATTAATCAATAATTTCAAAGACTGTTAGCCAGTAGGATTTCGGTTACACCAGGAGATGAACCTTCAACCCGGGGTCATATTCTTACTTTTGTCGGCTTAAATTCTGCTAGTGCATCTGAAGCATAAAGATTAGTCAACGATTCAGTGGTTACAACTGAAACTATTGTTTCAAAAGTTGATATAGCACTTCGTTTGTTCTGCACAACTGTTGTCAGATAAGTGTATGTGGTCATACACGTCTTGATAATATAGTTATGCTGCATGAGTTGATGAAGTGGAAACATAGCACTCATTTGTTGATGGTTGATAACAGTGGCAACGGCTGATGATAGCAGTGACTGTTTAGGCGGTGATGACGTACTGATATGATGATGCGATGTTTTCAATGGAGTAACGTGCATGAACTTAAATTTTCGCTAAAAAGTAGAAACTTATATGAGATATTTATAGAATGGTATGTAGCTATGATGTTATGTAAAATGAGTACATTACAATGAATTATACAATTGTTATATCGAATAAGATCTGATTATGATAGTGATTTGGCTTCGATTATGATATTAGCCCAAATTGGTGAATATCAACTAAAATTGAAGAATTTATATCCCATAAAGTATATGGTCAAAAAACAACCCTTTTTATTAATACAAACAATGTAAGATCACTTTGTTCGTAAACAAATGAAACAAGAAAATATGTCCTGAAATAAATGCACTCCGAATATATGATTACAAAAAGCTTTTTAATTTCATATACAATGTATAGATACCGTTACTTTCAAAATAATGACAAATTAACTTACATATACTGCGGTAAAAGAAACTGTTCTAGTTTATCTTCAATTTTACCCAATGCCAATTAAATTTACAATTGCCACTATGCCTGAATTAGTAGTTTACATATTTTCAAGGCCGTTTAATTTAGGATCATCAGAATTTTATTTAACAAAAGAACCATAAGCCATGTTACCTGCTCCTGTTTCCCATCAGAATTTTTGTCTTTTACCAGTACTTCCACGCCGTTGGACATGATCCTGGTTGCCAGATTCTTCATTTTTCTGTCATCCTCCTCGAGTATAGGCCGACTGATGTGATCCATGTCTCTGCCTGGTCTCCAAGGTGTATTATCGTATACAATACCGTTTGTATTGAAAGCTGGAATATTAAATTAATTTGATTATTTTTTGTTCCGCAAAAATAATTGCTAAATAAAAGACATACTGAGAATGACGGATAAAATGTTTCAATTTATAACATTAATTTAAATAATTTAGTATAATATCTGTTTTATGGAAAAAAATATTTTATTTTATTATCAATTTAAAAAATATATATTATTAATCGGTAATTAAATAAGATATTTTACATTACAAATAATTATAATAATGACTTTAATAGATGTTATGTGTATCAGAGATTACTTTGACAAATAATAAATAGAAAATGCAACGTACCCACAATATTAACTTTGATTTTCAACAAAGAGTTTATTTACACTAATTAAAATAAGTTACTGAATTTATAATAAACGTATTGACTAGCTATTGTCTGCGCTATACCGTATACGTTAGCGGGTTACCAGTGGAGGATGATAAGACGAGTACCAGGTCATGTCAGGTAGACCAACGTAGAAATTCACCAGGTATTTATCACGATGGTTTCAAGGGGGAACCATCGTGATAAATACGTGGAGTTGACCTCCATGGTAACATGGTGGCCTATCAATCTACCATAAATTGATAGCAATAGGAATATTATTCCATATTGCTAACAATTATCTTACCCCCATGATTATCTATTGTAATACCGAAGTATTGGCGTGCAGAAGCATTTACAGCCACAGTTGATATCTGTAACAGTGCATTATTAGTTCTACAATAGTTAGGTTAGTATGTAACAACTGTTGGCGTAATTAATTATTTTAATATTAATTTTATACTGACCGTTGTCTACACAAACATATATCAATAGTAATATCAATAGTAGTATCAATGTCATCAGCATCATTGTTTATCTCTATGTATAATTCCATTATACACATTATAATAAAATCCCGTGAAAAAATATAAGAATTAGATTAATATAGTATTTAATTTAAAAAAACATAACTATGTTCTTATTTTATGTATTAAGAAGATTCTTGTAAATTTTATAGTAAAAATTATTAAATAATAATAAATTATGCTAAACAAACAATGCTAACGCGGTAGACGTCATCCTGTCTGGAGTAGTAATGCCACCTACTAAAAGCAGGAAACCCTAGAAATATACACACAAAATTTCATACAAATCAGCCCAGACGTTCAAGAGGAGTTATGTGACAAACATACAAACAGATGTGTATATATTAATTACATTAAAAGAATAAAAAATAAACAATATGCTGATATAGTTATGTATTATTTTTATCTAATATTATAAAATAATTAATTTCACGCCAATGCAAAAATTATCACATTTGGAATAAATAAATAACTATAACTCATTACTCAAATGACATTCAAATCATATGACCTGCCTTTTAGGTCAAATTTTTCCAAAACAGAAAAGACATCAAGGTATTTTTTTTTTTAATTGTAATTTAATATTAAGTATATTATATATTTAGTTATATATATATATGTATATATTAATTCAGATATTAATTAGAAAGACCAGGTTTAACTACAGGCAGACTGTGAAAAGCTGTCAGCGAGCTACCTTAGTCGCACCTATGTACTTTAGCCGTCAAGCAGCTTGCTTTGAAGTTATTTTTATAATGAGTTCGAAGTATTTAAAAGGTGATAATTTCTGTTATAATTATTAAAATAATATCTACAATAATATTCTACATAAGTTCACATTACAACTACAATCTACTCTTACATCTACTATTTGTTAATCTACTTATTTTTTATATACAGCTACAGATCAGGTTGCAAGTTCTTGACTATATATTTCTACTAGCTGTGCCCGTGACTTCGTCCGCGTGTTATAGTGACCTCGACAAAGCAAAGAAAAAATATGTAATAATGGAACCCAAAAAAGGTAAATAAAATTTTCCATACAAATTTCAATCCACTTTAGGTAAAAAATTTTACCCCTATTTTTTTTATTTTATTTTAATTTATTTTAAAGGTAACATTTTTACAAACTTTGAATGTCATATTTATTAGTATTTAATCAACAACCTTAAAAATAAGTTTCAAGTTTCTATCTTCAAAAGATGACGATTCTTCCATACAACCTTTCATCCCCTCTTTTAACCCCTTACAACCCTTTTTACTCATTAGAACGTAGCCTTTCTAGTCCTTTCACAGGGTCTAGACTATCTGTGTACCAAATTTCATTTAAATCGGTTCAGTAGTTTTGACGTGAAAGCGAGACAGACAGACAGACCGCCAGAGTTACTTTCGCATTTATAATATTAAGTAAGGATAGCATATTCTATTAATAGCTCAGGATAATACACACAGTGCCATCTAGTCTCAAGACAAGCAGAGCTTGTGTTAAAGGTAAATAACTGATATAAATACTTGTAATACATTTTTTCTAAATACATACATAATATATATAGGAAATACCCAGAGTATGCAAACAATAATACTTATGAATACAAAATGTTTGTATTGTGTGAGAAATCGAACCCGCGACCATAAGAATTAAGGTGGTGTGCGAAGCCGCTAAATCACTGAGGTCGTCAACATATGATATCCAAGTGTTCCAATAATATAATATGAATTGTACGTATATACAACATAATGAACGTTTAATATGATACCGCAATAATTACAAAATTACAAATTTTTAATTATCGATTATACAACTTTAATTTTAAAGTCGAGTATTTCAAAACTTTGCATTTCTTATATAATATACATAAAAATAAAATTGAAGTGTCTGTTTGTAATATAGATAACCACAAACATCAAAATAACATTATTTACAATTTTTGTCTGTCTGTCTGTCTGTTTGTTCCTTGTCTTGTTGTTTGACTTTGACGGGACTTTTTTTGACAAGTAAGCTGATGTAATAAGGAGTAACTTAGGCTACTTTTATTTTAGAAAAATAAAGTTATAATCCACGCGGACGAAGTCGCGGGAATAGCTAGTTATTAATATATATAAATATAATATTTATTACATTACCTTCTGAAAATGAATATAATTATCATTATTTTTGTATTAGTAAATTATAATTAACAATTAGAAAATGTATTTACATGACTTTACACGAAGTCAAGAACATGCAACCGTCAGTTTTAATATTACAGACTAACGTCAAAACATTATTTACTTATTTTTTAATATTAAACTCACCTTGTAGGTGGTTGGATGCGCAGGAGAGGTTGGAACCTTCCGGGACCATCAGGAGTCACCAGTTTTCTGCCGTCGTCGTAAGTCATCATCGTCAAGTCATTATAAAGTCAACCCATGTCATTTCAACAAAGTATAAAGTCTTAGAAGGTCTTCAAAACATTTAAACAGAGTTATAACGTTCCTTAAGTCTAAAGGAACGTTCATAAGAGAAATGTTGGACCTTCCATAAAGTGGGACCATCTTTTTATTGTAGAATTTTAGTCCGTTTTGTTCACGCCAAGACACGTGCAGTGTATACAGAGAGATCTCATATCATCAGAAAGATAATAAATTAGCTTATTTTTGCCCAACATTAGGTGACAAGACCTGTTGGTGTAGACCAACAGCTCCTGTCACCTATCGTTAATCTTCATACCAAACCACTTACGAGGTTGAGGGTGAGAGTCTTATGCTTTCTATATTTTGATCAAAGTATTTCTTACTTTAACGTTATAATTAACTAGTACTTTTTATATTTATTTGTAAAGCATAGAACTTTGAAAATACTACAATGTTGCAGTTATACACATAGATTTTAGATCTTTTGCCAAGGTTACAAACCGTGACTTGAGTAAACCTTTTTGATATTTTTTTATATATTTATTATTGTAACTTTGATAAAATGATATAACATGATAAAGTGCACTGTAGTACTATAGCACTATAGTACTTATTCATAATAACTCTGGACAATACACATACCGTCACCATCACTAGTCCCAACTTGAGCAAACCATCATTAAATACAATCACAAAACAGACCAATACAAACAATCTTTACATATACGTACGAAGTTTGCATTGTGCGAGGAGTCGAACCTCGTAGTCGACATCGTAATAAAGGCAGTGTGCTAAACCGCTAGATAACCGAGGCCAAAAATTATTATCTTAAAAAGAATATAGAAATATCCCACTATGAAATATAAAAGTAACTAAATTTCATTATATAAAATTGCTAAATATATTATTGGTATTTCTCTGGCTTAGTCAATCGAATTCCCAAAATTATCAAACCGAATGACAATTAACCTTGAATGAAATGAATCAGTTTAAAATATGTAAAGATGTCATGAACGAAATGAATACATAGACAATTTACAATTTATTTATTGTTTTAACATTTCAAGTCGTATTCGCAATTTACAGTCACAAGCGAAGGAAGAACGAGTATTACGAACCATAATTACATATCAATTAACTAGACTTATTCTTAGGCAGTGAGTACAGTTACCTATATAATATCGCAGTAACCAAAGCATTAAACTTGGTAACGTATTGTAGGGATGATCGATATTAAAAAAACATCGATGTTTATATCGATAAATATAGAGTGAGAAACATCGATGTTAGAAAACAATGAATAATGAATGACCTATTTGTTATTTTGCATTTCAAATGACTTTTAGGACTTACGGTATCAGGTATAGGATTCAATCTGATAGCATGACATTTTGCATTTCGTATGGGAATTTTTTAAACATCATTATATCGATATTGTAATATTAATGAATATCGAGCATCCCTAACATATAGGAGAGACATATTTGGCGACCATAAGTAAATGTAAATGGATACAACTAATCAAGTACAAAAGAGTATTTTGTTCTTATAAACTAAAATTGTTACAGCTATAAGGCACTATTCATAGTTAACTACTATGATACAATGGTAAATAAATAACTAAACCATTACTTTATACACCTAACCATTTGTATGTTGTTTCACGACACGTCATCAAGCGTACTTTGTTGTGTACTACTCCTAAGGGAGGGTGGACTCGCCATTTGTACAACATAGGTCGGTGACGCATCGTACTTT